TTTTAGATTTATTCTTTACCTGACACAGTTCTATAAATCATTTTTAACTGTCTCTCTACAAGTATTTCTCTAACATTCTAGCTTACTTTCATTTCATTATGAGAATGAAATAAGAAAAAAATAAATAATTCAGAAAAAAATAAATATGTAGGTATGTACCTCTAGTAAATACATAAGATGTTTTTAAACACAACTAAACTTCAGATTTATTAAATACATGTAAAAAATTTTAAAATCTTTAGATACAGAGTTAGCAGTAGCAAGTTTTGATTTACTACACAAGTTTATTGCTAATCAAAAACATTGATAAACTATTTTTATAAATAACTTTTTATAAAACATGGATAAGATTAAATTTTTAAAATATTTTTGCTAACTAGTCATACAGGGTGTTTCACATAATTTTACGAGGCCTGCGCATGAAGATGCATTCAATAATACATATACACAAATTTTGAAAAATTGGATAATCTTCTATGGTTTGTTCACCCTTTTAAAAATTACAACGTTTTCAGTTAGTTAGTGATTAAGATAAACTAGAATCATATTCATACCGTCTCGTGATAGAACAAATAATTGTTTCTAAAAAACTGCAGTTTATGACTTGTAATAACACAGTTTGACATGATGACTACTGTCATAGGTTTCCAAAAATTAAATAATAAAATTTATATTTTTTGTATCCACTGTTTTGTGATTTTTGTATATTTGGGTGTTTAGGCGCAAGCTTCGTAAAGTTGTGTGAAACACCCGGTATATAGTTGGAATCAGAAGTGTAAAAGCAATTTAAAACCTAAAAAATGGCCCATTATAAATAAGGGTTCTTTAGCCGGCGGTATTTCACCCGTATGTAAATAAAAATATATGGCTAATATATACATGTGACCGATGTCAAATTTGAAAGGCCACTTTGATGAGATCTCGACATTTTCTGATCCACGCGACCTGATACGAGCGTTCTACTAAAAGCTTTCTAGAGAATACCTAATATTGAAAAAAATGTTAGTACAGTATTCTATAATTGGCCTAGTAAAACTAATGTCGAGCAACCCTTAATTTATTAAATTGCTTTTGAGAAAATCAATTAAAATCATTGGAAATGAGTCTTCGACACCTTGCACAAAATATAAACAAATCATTATCTAAAACTTGATAATAAATCATTGAATAAAAAATATTTGACGTATATTGTATTAGTTTAAGCCTTAAGTTCATATAATTTTGCCACTAGTAATCCGCTTTATCTAATCATCTAATCCCACATAAAACCAATACTGTATCAATATGTTTTGAAATCGTTTGACATCGAAATCAGTTTTCGAACAAAATTACAAAATAATTACGATTCCATGCATTAGAAGCGATAAAAACGAATAAAAATTATTCAGATTGACGGCAATTCTATTGATCGAAACGTAAAAATGTGCTGGCACAGAAATGACAATTGTGACCTTGTAAAAATCTTTGACAAGGCTTTTAGAGACTTCTGATCAAGCCAGGCTCTGTCAACACTTCTGTTGACTTTTCATCAGCTGTATTTACTATTACCTCATCATCTGGTTGGAAGCATTTAACAGTGCCGGAGATAATTTTTACAAAAAAATATAAATTACCAAAAGCAATCTATCACTTTTATTATTTCCGTTATTAAATTTTTACAAGCTAATTACCAAAAGTTTTATAAATGAGCTTCTATTATTTATTATAGATAGAAATCTTTGAAAAGTTGCATTCATTAGTCAAATTTCGCAAGTCACGTATTTTTCAAATATTAACTCAGGGCAGGTCACGCACGCCAATGTGTTAGAGGGTGAATATCACTGCAACTAAAACAAACAGTCGAGGACGAAATCCATTAAATCTTTATTTAGTTTTGCTCGAGTGATGCGCAATATTGCCTCAGGTTTAGTATCAGATTTTGGGGCAAAACCGACCCCTTTCCTCCTTAATTTGCCACAAAAATACAAAAAGGGTAATGAAAATAAACTCTGATCAAAAGCAATAATAAAAAATAATGCAAAAATAAATCATATTTAAATAATTATTAACACACAAACAAATAGACCGTTATTGTTAGAAAAACAACGTTTTAAACAGGACGCGTTTAAAAAAAAATAAAAAATATGGAAACTATTTATAATAAGCTTTTTTATCAGATTGTCAAAATTAAAATTTTCAAAAATTATTAGAAAAAAGCGAAAGTTCTAATGGTAATGATTAAAATTTGTTTGTAAGTAAGAGTAAGTGTATAAACTCATTTTTTATTTCCTTAGTTTTCTTTTTACAAACGTAATACATGTTTGCAAATACATGAGAATTAATTTTTCTACATATTTGTAATATAATAAACTATTATTTTACCGATACAGTACTTAGTTTACAAAGTATCTAAAATAAACAAAAATTTAAAAAAATTAAAAAAACAAAAGATCTGTTAATTCCCATAAATCTCGTCATATTTATAATAGAAGTAATTATTCATACTTAACTTTTTGCACACATGACAACAAACGAAATCCAAGATTACAGTGTCACAAAATCAAAAATTTAATGCATCACTTGTTCTCTTATCACATTGACACTTTTGCATTTAATCTCGTTAAGTCCTAAGAAATTTAAGCGCTAAACCAGGTTTAATCCCCTAATCCCTCCTATTACATACTTCGAATTAAGCAATTTCAGATTTATCACAATTTTAATTCGGATGTCATCAGTGTTTTGACTCCGTCGCTCTCTGAAACGCAAACGGCCTTATCTCGATCTAAAAAGCAACAACCTGCTCATTGGACCAATTTACCACGACTGGTTAAGCTGTCAGTTTTGAGACACTAGTGATACGGATATCTTAAACTTTTTTGTATCATGTTTCGTCGAGAAATTGATCTTTTCGATTGCAAAATACAAACGTGTCTCTAATTGCCGAAACGGTTTTGATAATTTCGAATTAAGCTGAAGACGGGGCAAGTCTGGGGAGACATTCATTAATCTATTGTGACAGGGCGGTGTTAAATACACGCTACAGCGGTAATTATTGATGACGGACTTTAACATGACATGGGCTTAACACAATTATAAACCGGCCAAAAACAAGAAAACTGTACGAAAATGAATTTTATCGCATCGAGAGACTCGATTCGAGGATCCTGTCAGTTCAGAGGAAGCGACATTTGGTTCTCTTATCGCTTATCTCATTTACCCACTCAAGAATTATTTCGAAAAGTACCGATTTTTTTAGTTGAATGCGTGAGTTGAGTGCGTGTTTGAGGGTAGCGTGATCACGCCTGATAAAGAGATGCCCTCACAAAGAGCTAGTCCCATCAAACGGATATAATTAGTAGTAGAATAAGGTGACAAAAGTGGAATTAAATTGGCTTTTTCCTCAATTGATCATAATGGAAGAAATGTTTGGTTGGAAAATGTTTGTCTAGAATTGCTTTCAATGTTCAATATTTTCCCATAATGAATTAAACCACTTTAAAGTATTGGAGGTTCGAGTTTCAAGCTGCAATTTCTGTAATGGACGAAAAGGAACGATTTGTTTGATCTTTTGAGACGAGTTTGGGACACCAACTTTTCCTAAATTTAATTAAACAATTTCGATATTAGCTATATCTGGCTGCCGCTGAAAAAAGCCAGCGAACAAGATGAATTGAGGGAAAGATTCAATTAGGTGAATGTGAGGCTGAATGCAAGCAGCTAATAAGAAAACCAATCTGTCTTCGTTTATTAGTTCCGAGCTGAATTCGCAGACTTTGAAAAGCTTCCACACATCGGGAAAAAAAATTACCCAAGTCTGGCAATTGTTTGCAGACCGAATGCAATTTCACCCTTTCCCCTAAATGGTCAATCGTTTAATCCGGCAGCTGGTCAAGCAACAAAACAGAATTAGCTTGCTACATGACGTCAAACGTCTAATTTTCCTGAGTGGATGGAAATTTTCACAAATAGTCACGCTCTCTACTATATCGTATTGCATACTTTCTACGGTTTTATCGTTGTTCAGTTTCGCTTAGCACAACACAAGTCTATGGGGACAGAGTGATCAATCCTGCTTGACAGCACAACATATTCATATTCGCATATTTTTGCAGCTTTTATCTACTGTACCAGTAGCTTTAATATTCCATTAAGTCTAGTAGGAAGAAAAGACACTAAACTCGATATCGAAAAAACTGATTTAACAATTAATTAGAACAACTTGTAAACAAAGAATTAAATTAAGCAGTTACGAGTATGGAAATTAGTATCGATTACAACTGAATTATAATTATGAATATTAAGTAAATAGTACCTACGTAATCTAAATGCAAAATGCATGTATATTTGCAAGGTAGATAGGCGAATAAAAGTGAAACGGAAGCAGTCACAATGTGTCAGACCGTTCCATGTCAACCCAATGATAACATCTTTATGGAAGAAAAACGAATATTAATTTCATTAAAACCTTTGTTTCGACATCTTGCTCCTCCTACAGGCCCAACTTGGGCAAAAACATGTTTCATAAACCGCATTCTCATTCAAATCTTAACGACAATGAAAACTAAACCTGTACAGGGTGTCCCATGAGTAATAATGAGCTTGAAAATTTTTTTGGAGCAACCTACATTATATTTCATAGATCACGTGGATATTAAAATATTTCGTTTTAATGAGTTAAACATAATAATCGTATTTTTACTTGTGCCAAATTTCTATCAGTCAAATTGACTTTTCTTAATGACTTTAAGTGATGTTTGGTCACTATGTATTTATGAAAACTAAATATTTTAATATCCACGTTATCTTTGGAATGTAATGTTGGTTGCTTCAAAAATTTTTTCAGGCTCATTTTTACTCGTGTGACACCCTGTATATTGCAACGGTAAAACCAAAATTAGAAAAAAGTCAAATCATCAAAGTTATTTTTAGTTTTTACTGCCCAGAAAGCAAATTTTAAATTTAATTTATTATTATTGCTTTCAACGTTGATTACATTACATTCCACGAAACATTTGTTTCAGTACCCAAAATCCCGCCTGCCGACTTCCCAACCACGAGCAACCCATCATCTCTGGACACCCCCAACCCAGCATCGCGCAACTCTTGCTTGGGCTCCAACACCTCCAGCATGCTAAGTCTCAACTGTCTCAACACGGGCCGAACGAACTTCACCAATAAACAACTGACCGAACTTGAGAAAGAATTCCATTTCAACAAGTACCTAACTCGAGCACGAAGAATCGAAATCGCTTCAGCTCTTCAACTCAACGAAACCCAAGTGAAAATCTGGTTCCAGAATCGAAGAATGAAGCAAAAGAAGCGAATGAAAGAAGGACTCATACCTCCTGAACCGATTTCGGCTAGTTTAAACACAAGCAATAGCAATTCGCCAAGTTCAATAAACTTGATTCAGAATGAAGCCAGCAACGAGAACAGTCGTGAATCAAACTAGTGTGAAAAAACTGTGAAAGTTTATGTATCGCCAAAGAGATAGAGTAGACACTCCCGGGCAAAAAGTTTCATTATTTATTTGGGTACTATATTTATTTATAATTTATTTAAAAGTGTACAATAAAGTACTTAACTACGTACATGTTTTTTTGTAAATACCATTTTTTTCTCATTCAAATCCAATGTACATACTTATTTTAGTCTAACTAGATATGTTGCTCAGGGATTATATTATGTACCTACCAAATAAAACAAATCTAAATTAATTTCTTCGTTTCAAACTCGAGGATGTGCAACAACGAACACATAAGGTATCAGACGTATCCTAAACCATGTTTAGAACAATCTGGCAAAAAATAACAAGCCAAATCATCAATTTTTCCATTGAAGCTTTACTCCAACCACACTCAATATCACTTTTAAGAACTTCAACCAAACTCCGGTTATTTTTATTCGCACAGAGCGTATTCCTAAGACCATCATCAGTATGTCTACAATTATATTCCTCAAAATTAAAACTTGAAGCAACATTAGGACACAAATATTGCCGCCGTTTCCGCTCCCACACTTCGACCCATCTAGAAAATTAAATTAACTTACAAAAATTGCAAAAATCACAAATACCCCAAATCACAATCACAAGACCACTTTCCACCCATCAGTTTCAAATCAATCAAAAAAGCCGATCTAGGTTTGCCGGGTTTAGACCCAGTTGACGGATTTTGTAAATTTTTCAAAAGGAGATTATCCCTAACGTCAACACTCACATTTCTCACTTGCAACATATTGTGAAAAACGTCAAAAGGGATTTTAATAACGCTGGTGTTGCAAAGAGTAAGATGAAAAGTCGGACTTCGAATCCCCTACGAAATTAAAATAATAAAAATCAAGATTAGTCGGAGTCAAAAACCTGAAACATTTTTCCGGTGATTTTCTTTAAGCCTCTTCCGGTTAAAGTCAGGTTTTGTAATTTCAAAGGCCAAGCCCCTCGCATCTCATTATCTAAAGTATCTGTGTCTTTGATCACCTAAAAATTAATTAAATCAATTTTTAGTTAGTCCAAACTACGTCTATAAATACAAGAATTTCTAGATTCTTAAGTCCATCATTAAATTGCAAAATTGTGGGTATATTATAATTTTTAATATTGCTGTAAATACCAATCCTGAGTGTCCTCAACGGTTGCATTTTGCAGAACGCACCCAACTAAACAAAACTCATTTAGAATTAAACAGTCACTAAAAACAATTATTACTTCCAAAACACTCAAATCGATATTTTTTAAATTGAGTTCTTCTAACTGATTCGCAGCTCCTAGCAAACTCGTGTTGCTCAAAGTTGTTATGGGATTACCTTCCATTGATAAATACCTCAATTCAGTCAATGAGTGTGTCACTATTGGGACAGCACTCAAGTCGTTGTAATCCAAATTTAAATAACGTAGTGACGATATATTCCCTGCTATTTCAAGTGCAACAGTTGGCAAAGAATTAAAAGCAAGTGATAGTGAAAGTAGATTAGGTGTTGATAATGTTGGCACCTGTAATACATCATTTAGACAATTATTCAAGTAGTTGATAATATAATTAACTTGAGACAACGAAACGTTGTCTAGATTTAAATGAAGAAGAGTGTATTCTAATCCTTGGAAACTCAAACCGTTTATTTCTAAGGTGAGTTGGCTGTTGTGACCCAAATTAAGACTTGCTAGTCTTGGGATGCCTTTGAAAGTCCCAGCATCGATTTGACCTAAACGATTATAAGATAAATCCAACCAGGAGAGACTCTAAAAATGAAATTAATCATTCCTTATTTACCCAAACAAAAAAATACTTTAAATCGTGACAATTGTCCACCGTGTGATAAAGACGAAATACTATTCCAGGACAAGTCCAACTCGCATAAAGTTTCAGCTGAAGAAATTGAGAGACTTGTCAATGGTAACTTGGCCAATAAATTGTGTGAAACATCCAAACGTTCAAGACCTGTCTCTCTGAATAAATTGTCAGGTAGAGATCTCAGTCTGTTATGAGAAAAATCAACAATCCTCAAGTTACCCAAGAACTTAAACAAGTCATTCGGGACCTCAGAAATGCGATTATGCGACGTATCAAGCAACTACAATTACTTAAATTAAAAAAAATATTTAAAAAATTTCGTTAATATACACCTGAAGCTTTTTCGTATTTCTGAAAGTATCAAAGTCCAATTCATATAAAGAATTGTGTGACAAATCAAGAATTTGCAAGTGTGGCATATTTCCAAAAAGTTCTTTAGTTGCGTTTAAAAGTTTATTATGACCGAAGTAAAGTTGAGTTAGAGATAATTCAACTGGTCTAAAAAATTGTTTCGCCACTGAAGTGATGTTATTGAATGATAAGTCTAAGACCTTAATGTTTTGTAAACCACCAAAACCTGTACAGTAAACACAAACTGTTTTAAATAACGTAAAAATAAAATTTTGGTTAGAAGTTTTTTTACCTGTGTCTTGCTCAAACGGTATTGAAGCAGCGACGGCCAAATTTATTAATTTATTGTGACTCATATTGACATGAAACATTCCTAATGACCCCACTTGGTCAAAAATGTTAAAATCTAGAGTACTGATACTGTTATAAGCCAAATCCAAGTCTTCAAGTTCGGGCAAATTCTGAAAACTTTCGTACGCTATAGAGGCGATTTTGTTTCCTTTCAAATTCAGTCGTTTCAGACTTTTCAGATTCATAAAAGCGCGTCTTTCTAAACTTTCGATTTTATTGTCGTCTAAATGAATTTGCTCGAGTTGGATTAAATCAGAAAATGTGTGTTGTTGAACATTTCGAATGCTGTTAAACGAGAGGTAAATTTCAGTCAAATCGCGGTGAATGTCTCCCTGAAACACATTTATATTTATTGTTTATTGTGCCGTTTCAATACCTGAAATGTCCCTCTGTGGATAACTTCAATGATATTGTCTTGTAAATGAAGCTGTTTCAAATTTTTTAGAAAATGAAACGAATTATCTGGGACATTTCTAAGTCGGTTATTACTTAAATCGAGTTCTTCCAGTCGGTTTAAAATTTTTATAGCGTCACTTGGGAGGTTTTGGACCGATGAAGATAAAGCATGAGTTAATTTCAAGGTGAGTAACGAGTCACCAATCTACGGTTTTTATGATTTTTTGTTAAAATTACACATTCCACTCGTACTCACATCAACAAAAGCATTGTTTTCAATGCCTGAAATTATATTATCAGAAAATTGTAATTTCTTTAAAGCGTGGACGTATTTGAAAGCATTATTTTTGATTGTTTGAAGTCCCCCATAAGTAATATGTAACTCTTCTAAATCAGTCCCAAAATCGCGGAAATCTTCCGAAGAAAGACTCGGTTGAGATAAGCGAGACAGTGATAAAATTCTCAAATTTCTAAAAGTTTTTAGCTCTTGAAGTGAGATTGGGGCATTCTCATTTCCACTTAAATCGAGATGGTAAAGAGAAAACCGAGCTCCATTTAGTGATTGTATGGCATTGAACTTCTTTAAAGTATTTTCCCGCAATGACAATGTTTTCAACAACACCAGTCTTTGGAAAATCTCGTCAGAAAGAGACGAAATATGATTACCCGATAAATCTAAAATTTCGAGAAAATTCTCCAAACCGGAAAAGGCTAACGGTGATATTTCTTTCAAGCCGCAATTTCTCATATATAGTTCTTTGATTTTCGCCTGTCGAAATGCATTTTCCTGTTGAAAAATATATAAAAATAAAAAATAGTACTTCCAAATTTTTACATACCTCAACAAGACTAAGAGGATTCCCATCTAGGTAAGTCTTATTCAAAACATTAAAATACTGAAACGAAGCAGCTTTCAACATCGTTATTTGATTATAATCAAGTCTTAACAAATCCAAATTGAAGAGAAAATTATAATTTGCATTTTGTACACCCACTTCTAGTGCTGGTTGCATTATATTAATTTTATTATAACTCAAATCTAATTCTCTTAATGATTTTAAAAATGAGAGTGCTTGGTAAGGAATTGAAGTTAGTTGATTATCGGCTAGAATTAAATTAGATAATCGACCCATGCCATCTCTGAAAACCGAAGGATCGATTTCTTTCAAATTGTTTCCTTTCAAATTGATTGTTTCCACCATTGGTAAACCAGAAAATGAGTCGATTGGTAAATGAGTAATGTAATTATCGGTGAGAATCAATGTTGTTAGAGAATTTTCAAGTCCTCTCCAATTTTCAGGAGATATTCTTGTAATACTATTTCCTCTCAAATCCAAATATCTTAGTTTTCGCAAATATCGTATTGAGCGATTTGGGACACGTGTTAACTGATTGTGACTCAAATCTAATTCCCATAACGACCTTTCAAGTCCCAGAAATGTTTCATCAGGAATGTATGATAGAGGATTCTTGCTTATTACAATTTTATACAACCCTAGTGACAAAAAAGCTTGAATTGTTTTTGTTTAATTTTGTTGAAAAGTATATACCTGTACTTTGCAGAAAATAGGGTTCAAGAACTTTTAAATTGTTATTTTCTAGATGAAGCATAAACACTTTTGAGATATTTACAGTTTCTGGAATTCTGGGCAAGTGATTATTTTGACACCTAACTATGCCTAAATCAGGACCACTTTTTGAACATTTACAAAGTGTATTAAAATAACATGAAGGGTAACGCACTAAATCAATTTCGCGCGCTCCACTTAAAGAAATCCATATCATTAAGAAAAAAGTTCCTAAGATTAAAATATAGCCAAAGCGGCAAAAGGCTATCACGTCCTAAAAAAATGAAAATCGATTTGTTTTAAATGAAATTCAAATTTTAGACATACCATTTTTGCTGCTATTTTAACTAATTAGAAAACACACAGTAAAAAACACACACACATCTTCTAACTACGACTAGTTAGCAAGAAACTACAACAATGACTAACAAACTAAAGCATAATGAAGCCTTAAAAGTCAACTAATGGGGCTTCAAGTAATTGGATTAAATTTATAATTTCTAATTCAATATAACGTAGAAATAGAGAATCAGGTTCATATTTAAAAATAATAAATAAAACTTAATTAAAAGTAATTAAAATCGCAACTTATTTGGTTTGGAAGAATAATGGGTAAGTCATTCATTTACAAGTTTACGTGGGTGAGAAATTAAAATAGATTAATAACTTTGACCTATTTATTTAAGAACAAAAACTTTTTGGGTCATTTGTTATTTGATACATTATCTGGTAATTTTAATAAAAATCAAATAAAAGCGGTAATAATTTAAAATCAATGCGGTTTACGGCAAAAAAATACAGATCCCTACAAGGCAATCAAACCAATTTAATAAAAAATCATCAGAACTACAATAACTTTACATTAAACATTATAATGTATGCAAAAAATGATTAAGTTCCCCAAATTTGTATTTCTTTTTTGAAATTATGAAAGTTAAAAAAAACTGTATAAAAAACAAGTGGCCAATAGATGTCGCCACAAATCATTATGTTTTTCTGACACATGTTATGTTGACAGTTACATAACCTCAACATCTAGTCGTTCCAATAACTTTCTGTGATAGTGATATGATAACATCCAGTGGTACACACTTTCCAAAGATTCCATCCTTACAATGATTTTCACGGCTACTTTTCTCACGTCATGTCTCAAGTTACTCTTAATCCCGGCTTAGTAAGTCTTGTTCAACCTTGTGATTAAACTTAACTTAATCGACTTTTAGCCGGTCTACAGACTTCGAAGTTCACAGAAACTGGATGGCAATTACCTACAGTTTGCCTTTAAAACAATGGTATTGTGAAAATACGTCCGAGTGGACTCTTGATTATCCACCCCTTTTTGCCTATTTTGAATATTTGTTGTCTTTAATAGCGTCTCTTTTTGATAAGAATATGTTGATAGTACAAAATCTGAACTATGCGTCTGATGAGACGATTTTGTTTCAAAGATTGTCTGTAATTCTGACTGATTTAGTGTTTTCTTATGGAACGCACAAGTAAGATTTTTGATAGTTTTGATGGTATTTACACTGTGGGGTTTAAGGTGCTGCAGTTCTATTCAGAAAAGCTGGAAGACGGATGTCGTCCTTCCTATTTTACTCATCACAAACTGTGGCTTGATCATGGTGGATCACATACATTTTCAGTACAATGGTATTTTGTATGGCATCCTCTTGCTTTCCATCTCATACGCAATTCAGGTTTTTACTATAAAACGTGACGATAACAAATCATATAAATTATTTCAGGGAAGATATTTATTATCGGGATTTTGGTACACAGTTCTTTTGAACATGAAACACATTTACATTTATTTAGCACCGGCTTATTTCGTTTTCTTTCTCAAAAACTATTGTCTCAATCAAAAACTTTCAAAATTCCAAATCAAACATTTCATTATGTTAGGATCCACAGTCTTGGCTGTATTTTTCGCAACGTTTTTACCATTCTACGATCAGCTAGGACAAGTTTTTACACGAATGTTTCCCTTTAAAAGGGGCTTGTGTCACGCATATTGGGCCCCCAATTTCTGGGCTCTTTACAACACCATTGATAAAGCAGCATTTCTGCTAAGTGAGTCAAAAGCAGTCATTTTAACTCAAAATAATCGAGCTTTTAGTGTCCAAAATGGGATTTTTGGCTAAGAAAAGCTCTGTTGCTTCAATGACTGGGGGGTTAGTGCAAGAATTTTCACACGAAGTCCTGCCAAATGTAACACCATTGGTAACAATGATTTTGACAGGAGCGATGATGTTACCAGCCTTAATAAAACTGTGGACTCTTAATAAACACCCATCGAATTTTTTAAGATGCATTGTTTTATGTGCACTGTCGTCATTTTTATTTGGATGGCATGTACATGAAAAAGCTATTTTGATGGCAATCATTCCTTTGAGGTAAGGAGAAAACAGATAAAAATTTTAATAAGAACAATATTTTTAGCATTTTATCAATAATGGATTTAAGTGACGCCAAAACTTTTATTTTATTAGGAATCGTGGGACATTACTCTTTGTTCCCACTTCTTTTTCCTAGTTCTCTACTTGTGATTAAAGTCTTATTGTTACTGTTATATTCCATCTACACTTTTCATAGTTTGTCCAAAGTTTATCCTTTTGCCATCTATAATTATTCATTTCCTCTGTTAAATTGCTTTGAAAGTATTTATATTTTAGGATTAAGTGTTATTTTTGTGTATGAGAATTTTTTACACCAGTTTTTAGGCCTCGGCACTAAATTACCTTACTTACCTTTGTTACTCACATCGTTGTATTGTTCAGTAGGAATTATCTACTCGTGGATAGGATTTTATATCAATTTTTTCACAAGAACTAATGTTACACAAACGAAACCAAATAAAAAGTTCCAATAAAAAGTATGGCGTTTTGTGCCTATGCAACCAATAATACAACCCAACTTTGCATTTCTCTATATTTTCAAACATTATTACATAGGTAGATGCATTAAATAAATTTGAATTTAACCAAAATGCAATTAAATACCGAAAGCATTAAACATAGGAAGTGTATCTCTTGTTTGTTGGACAATATTCGGCATATTCTTCCCAAGTACAACCCGAAGATTTGCAACACTCTGAAGTAATAGAAGCGCCAGCACGTCGATTAACACCTCTTCGAAAACGCAACAACCTTTTTGCTTTTTTCGGTGCCAAATATGGAAATTCTAAACAAAATTTGAAATCGAAATAAATTAGTTTTTTGTTACCTTCATCCACATTGGTGATGTAATTATTGAATCCATTTTGGTCGCTTCGTCGAGTTAAACGATAAATATCCTTCTCGCAAGCCCAGTATAAATGCTTGATTAGAGTTTCACGACATCGGGTATATTTCTCTTTATGCCAAGCTTCCTCCCAGTCGGATTGTGATCTAGGGAAATAATTTTATTTTACGAAGAAAATGATTTATTTTTAATAATTAGTTTTGTGGAGGGTCGATTCAATTATTCGACTAATTTACCTAGATTGGATTGAAATTTTGTTCCTAAAGCATAGAAATAAACAAGGCAATTAAAACCTGAATTAATGTTTTATTACTATAAAAGCAATAAATTTGTTGTTTGACTTTGGAGAAAAATAAAGTTAAGTATAATACTCACTACTCGCACACGTGGGCATTTATGACAGATTTTTTTTTGATTTATCACTTTTTTAATTACTTACCTGTCTCTGAAGACAAGTTCGAGTTCATTTTCGGATCGAGTGGTATCGGACATATCAAGAAGAACGCAAAGCGCAGCAATTGTTGAAACCGGAAGCCACATCTGAAGACAGAAAAAAATCTGTTAACAAGCTTGAATTTGTTAAACTATTTGTTTTTACACTAAGGTTTAAAACAAAAGTTGGTGGAAAAGTGTTTCAATTAGGTGTACATCGACGGACTGGTAAAGAAGTAAAGAACAACCCGGCGCCTTCACCATTTGTATATTTTCCAGAATGCGCAATCGCCAAACTTTAACAAACTCGTCCTACAAGAATTACTTATAGATTGAATAACAAACAGTGGTTTTCAATTGATGCTATAAATTTTGCGGAGGCTATTTTACGACTTCTTAGAACCTTTTACCTGAGGATTCAGCTCCATTGTTGACACTTCTAATCACATATTTATTGCTATCGTGGATTTATCGACACTCAATTTTACACACTTCTCATCTCATTTAACTCTATTTTCAGAACCTTAAAAACTGCAATTAAATCAATTATTCAACAAGACTTTATTGTTGCCTAAATATAGCATCCACGATTAATTATTTTTATTGTACTATTCCGCCCCAACATGAATTTTATTTTGATCCCAAAGTCTAATTTGGCTCATTTATTGCATCAAGACCCAACAAAATGGTCTTGCACACCTCTCCCGGGACAAATCACTTACAATGACGCCATCGGAAAACAACCAAACGGAATAATCAGCCACAAAATCGAATAATAACAAAATATATTTGCTCCCAATAATATTATACAGAAATATTCTTAGAAAGGTTTGTATTTATTTATATTGTAGAGTATGTTGAGGCCTTTAATGAACGCTCTGTAGTCAATTTCGTCCCTCATCCCTCTCTCAAAACTGAAACATTTACAAACAGCATCGAATTCTTGTCTGGTGATAATATTAAGAAGACCCCGAAGCGACAGAGCTCTTTCGAAATGTTCACCCGAAACCGTCCCACAGTTAGTCTTGTCATAATCCTAAAAAAAAAAAACAATATAACAACTAATTAAACTTTTATAAGATATTTTATGGGATAATAGAACCAGGTTGTTTACACTCCAGGTCGTAACTTTTAATAAGCCATGCACCATTATCGGAGCCACAAAGCGAAAACTTTAAACAAAAGCTTACTTGAAAAATTTGAATTAAATTAAGCTCCATTTCGGGCTTTTTCGATAACTTATTCATTGCACTAGACAGCAAAACTCTCTCATCAAAATTGAGGAAATTCCGCTCGCCATCTCGAGTCGGAATATGTTGGAGAGGAACAATCAAAGGAGCTCGTTCCAGGCTTTGCTGGGTGAAAGCCTCCTCAACCACGTCCGAAAACCGGCGATAATCCACACACTCACGTCGTAAAGGTGATGCAAATCTAGAAAAAAATGCAATAAAATTCTTGTCATTGCTATAACAACAACAACTAACACTTCCATCAGAGTTTCCATTTCATTTTCCGTCAAATCAAAGCGACACACCGACAATCCTCGTTTGAAATCCTCACGAGAAATAACATTCTGATTACATTTGTCAAAATCACGCAAAAACTCCATAACACGGATTCTCTCACGCACAACCTTGCCTTTGATTTTGGCCATAATCAAAACAATGTCTTGCTCGGCTCGAGGGACCGGTTTTTTGATGTATTCTTCACCACAAACCTCATGGTGGATAGCACCAGGACACCGGTCCTCACAGCTCTTCGGCTCAACTTCTTTCAAAAACCAGAAATAATTAAACCCAACTTCATTGTTAAAACGTTCTTCCAAGGCGTATAATTCTTCATCGGACAATAAAATACCATTAGATAACAAACACTGACGCATTTGTGACCTCGAAACATATCCATTGTTGTGTCTAAATAACAAAAATTTGTAAATAAACTGTATTGCAAAAACAATTCAAATACTTGTCATAGTCCCTAAATGATGGCTTTAACACGATTCGTCTTTTTGTCACCCTTTGCTTGACTTTATCAACCGCTTCTTCACACAATTCTCTTGACGCCAGATTGACCTTTTGCCAGTCTTTGCCCCCCATTCGGGGCAATTCGACGATTTCACGCGGTGGTACATCCACACACAAACATGGATACTTTTCAAGTTCTTTCGTTGTGAAAACTTGGTCAATGTCGTCTTCAAAGGTCTTCCAACAGACTCTAGTTGGGTCACAAGGGTCGCGATATTGTATCATTATAGCTTCAATTTCAGGTAAAGACAAGTAAAGTCTTTGAATTCCGCTGATTCCCAACATGTCAAGCCCTCGATGGAACTGTGACACAGTCAAACGGCCACTATTTAAAGCATCAAAGTCTTTGAAAAATTCCGACACTCTTAACCTGTTTTCTAAAACATGTCTTTGAATTCTTTTAATTGTGGTGACTAAGTCTTGGGTTTGTTTCGGTTCGTTTAACGCGGAATGAAAGATGCTTTGTTTTCCGAAAATACTCGCAGCTAACTGTTTACCAATTTCGGGTCGGGGAAGTTTAGGTAATTCTGCGTTTATTATTCTTCCCGGAAAAAGACTTAGGACATCCTAAACAGAGGATTAGAATATTTGGGTAGGTCATTCTTACTCCACTAAGATCCATGACTCCGTGCTGGTCCAGGTATTTGACAATTTCGTCGATTGCTGCAATAAAAGCAACATAATTTACTGTGTAACTGTCCTTCAGATATTTTTTCAGCAATAACGTAAAATCGTCTGGCGAGACTAGAATTTTTAAATAGTCTAAAACGCGAGCAAAATGACCTATTGTTACAGTTCCGTTGTTTTTAGAAATCTGAAAATTTTTATTTATTTTTGAAAACTTTGGCTCGAATTAGAATCACAAGTTCATAGTCTTGGAAATAAGGCCTCAGCAGCAAATTTCTCATATTTACAACACATGCTATTTTAGTTAAAAGGAGGTTTAATCGTCTTTCTTCACTTATGCTCAACCTGTTGACATGAAGAGGGTCTTCCCATTCAAGACCTGTTACTAAGGGGGCATTTTGTGAAAAATCGGGCACTGAAAAATAATTTTTGCAAGAATTTTACTTTTGGAAAGTCAAACACTCTACCGCTATCATAAATAACTTCACACAGTTGTGTATACAAGATTCGACCATCCTGAATTCTAAAATAATCCGCAAGTTCTGAAATTTCTTGGTCCGAGAGACCAATAATTGCCTGTAAATGACCGGTGAAAACAGAAATAAATTGTGACTCTAAAAATTTTGATTAAATATTATGTTTGACAAATGTAGAAAGTGAAAACCAGAAATTATTGAATTTTTGTTCGGATCGAGATGACAGAAATACTCCCAAAGATTTAGATTTGTCCGAAAGACCGCTGCTCGTATTTTATTACAGGTGCGCCAGACATCACCTAATTTTATTTGCTACAAAAGAAGATTTATTCTGCGAATGTTAGAAAATCTGGTATACTTTGCAATGCATTTTTGCTACACACAAATGGACAAACTTAAATTTTAAAGATTGTCAAAAAATGACTGATTCATAACGTTGGTGATTTTCGTTGTCGGAATTTATTTTCAGTTGTTTCCAAGTGCAGTGTAACAAAGAAAAAGGGTCAGGTAAATTTAATTTTAGAGGCTATTGTCAGAGGATGTTACCCCTATTACAGGTAGATAAATTTAAACGGATTAATGGAAGGTTGCAACAGAAACTCAAATTATTTTTAACTGATTTTTTATTTTAAGTATTTTTATTTTGTTTGTTTTGTTCAATTCTGTATTTTGTATTAAAAAAATTACGTTTTAGAAAAAAAATGTATAAATCTAGTGTTTGAATTTAGCGCCATGGACAATTAAGGTGTATTTCCGCATCCTCGCTTTGCTATTGGTCGCTTTTCTTTGTTGTTTACTCCGCGCTGATAAGTAGTGCTCGTTTGAGCAAATGGTGTCTTCTGATTGGTCCAAAAGACCGAAATAACTAACGATCGGCGGCGTATTCGAGCGTTGGCGTCATCCTCATCCTTTCGACATCTTTCTCTTCTGTTCTTGAGTTCAGTGGAGGTGGACGTGTTTGTGAATTTGAATTTTTTGACTGTGAATTTGTAAATAAACAATAATAATGGCCAATAATCAAGATTGTCCAATGGAGAACGGTGAAGATTTTTCACAAGACGTGAGCGCCGATCAAAATTTCCTGCAAAATCAGGGCGATCAAGTGAACGGCCAAAATGGTTCGGGAGACGCTCCTCCAGCCGACAGTGGAAGTGCTGATGCTCCAGGTCGAGACGACGACAGGTAAGTCGTATTTTTCAAATTTTTGATACCTTTGTATGAATTATTATAGATTGGTAGTAGTGAAGCCGGCTCTTTTGCGTCTCTTTTATTTAGTTTAATTGTGGCCATCCTGTAAATATGATCGAATTTCTTGTTTCCAAACATGTTTTTTAGCAGTAAGTGAAAGCGTGTAACTTGTATTTTTCCATATTTTTGACTGTAAAGTTCCGATTTGGCGTTTGTGTAAGGCGGCCTTGTAACACCCAAACCGAAGAAAATGGCGTCTGATGATCGAATTGGCGCGAATTTCGAATCTTCAAACTCATTTTGACCAAGTCCTGTTTTTCTTACTTTTCAGCATAATTCGGTCTATGTTTGTGTAAATTTTACTTTTCAGTGGATAGAATCGAACTCTTTTTAAATTCTTTCCGATAGAAAAATTGAGCAAAAATTAATTTTTTCTAAAATCGGGACCGGTGTAGGATGCCAGGTTTACCAAGCCAAGTTTACCCACTTAAACATGCTTCCTTTTCTCCAGGTGGCTTCGTCCGCTATATGGATGATGGGGCGACAGGACGCGGATCGCTGGGACCCATGGTATTTATCCTTGGGCACATCTTCTGCCAGACACTTAGTAATTTCAACGTTAATATTTAAGTTTTGGGATCTTTCATTATGTCCCATTAAAAATTTTGTTCAATGTTTTTTTATATATTTACAAAACTTTACTATCATTTTTTCTGCCTAAATGTAAAATTTCCAGATTACTTTTGAGATTGCAGATCCATTTGATTGAACTAGGATTAATTACTTGATTGCTGTTTACTATTACATTTGTTGTATAATTAAAGTAGTCATTTTATTAATAAGCATTATTCTAAACTTTACCAGTAATGCTTAGGATCCAACCTGGGTGACAATCCTACTAATTCAATATTTTTATTATTTACAGAAAATTGTTTGTTGGAGGCTTGAGTTGGGAAACAACCGACAGTGAGTATACATTTTATTTATCACATCTTAATAGCATCAAAAATAGAAGGTCAAGAGTTTATCAATTTAACAAAATTAAAATTTCGCAACAGATGAATCATTAAAATACCTTTTAACGTTGGTCATTGACCACTTTTTTTTTTCTATGACTGCATAATTAATTATGAGTTTTAATGATTTTTAACTGTTTTTTTTTTATGATGATTTTAAAAAGTCAGTTCTGCTTCTGATTAAAATTGAAGACACCTACTTTTCTGATCTTTCGTTTAAAACAAAACAATTTGCCAATGTGTGTTTCTTAATTTTTACGCCAAACTAATTATTTCAGAGGAGCTTCGTGATCACTTCGGACAATACGGTGAAATAGAAAGTATTAATGTAAAAACTGATCCAAATACCGGTAGATCAAGAGGATTTGCTTTTATCGTCTTCAACAATGCTGAAGCTATCGACAAGGTTGTAGCCGCTGGTGAACACATTATCAACAATAAGAAAGTCGATCCTAAGAAAGCCAAAGCAAGACATGGGAAAATCTTCGTTGGAGGACTCACTAATGAATTATCTGACGACGATATCAAAAATTTTTTCAGCCAATACGGCACTATTATTGAAGTTGAAATGCCTTTTGACAAAACCAAGAATCAAAGGAAAGGTTTCTGTTTTATCACATTTGAATCGGAACAAGTTGTTAACGAGTTATTGAAGACACCTAAACAGACTATCAAAGACAAAGAGGTAATTCATTTAAAATGTTTAAAAAAAATCTGTAATTTCATTCATTTGGTGTTGCGTAGGTTGACGTGAAAAAAGCGACGCCAAAACCTGACGCCATGGGAGGTATGCGTGGGGGCAGGATGATGCCTGGACGTGGGGGTACTCGAGGGCGAGGCCGAGGAGGCTACGGAGGCCAGAATTGGAACCAGGGATATGGTGCATACGGCGGTTATGGTCAAGGTTATGGAAGCGGTTATGATGGTTACGGGGGTGGGTATGACTATTACGGCGGCGGTTATGGAGGCTATGGTGGCTACGATTACTCCAATTATGGCAACTATGGTAAATACTCCTACAGGCATTAGTTTTATCGTTGTTTATAAGTCAGTGCCTTTGTTTAATGCAATCTGCATTACCGACATAATGTTATTATATTTAGTGGAAGGCCCTGTGATATTCACAGATTGTCTTCTGCATAAAACAAACTATAATATATTTACGTATAGTCAACAACTGTTTTGTTCCTAAACCCTATTATTGCATGTTGACCTTTTACGGAAATACATTGTGAAATAACTGGAGCTTGAATAAAGCATTCGTTGAAAATGATTTCATAATGTGCTTTCCATCCATACCTACACAAAATAAACTAAATTTGAAGCTGCAACACAACACAAAATTTATTAGATAATGTAGTGAAGGAAAACATGTCCTCTTAACTTCCTTTGGTTGTACTTATAGTAGAAAACCGTTAACTGATATTTTTTTGTTTACGTGAATGCAGACTATGGATATGGTAACTATGACGGAGGATATGGTGGTGGTCGCAGTGGTGCGCGCGGAAAAGGTACATACTGATCATGTTACATTTATTGTTACTGTGTGTTGTTTCAAATTCAAATTAGATTTTTTAGTAAAAAGATTTGTTTTAATGTAGCAATAGTCGTAACCTGCGTTTACCCAAAAAAAAATCAGTAAGACCATTGTGTATTTTTTCACTGCGTCACGTACTAATCTTTAAAAAAATTAGTAAATGACCATTGTAGGGTTGCAGCATTCTAATTTAAATAAAAATGAAGTGATTTATATCTTTTAAAAAAAAATGACAGTATTTATAAAAAGTATTTTGAAGAACAAACTGGCAAACAAACAACGCAGGTGGCGAGAATATTTTGAGTTTTATTAGTGAGTAGGATTTATCACTAATTAAATTTTTATACTGCTTGTTCTTTTCAGGTGGATCCGGGGGTTATCAGGGTGGTAAACAACGAGGTGGTGGTGGCGGCGGCGGTGGCGGCCGTAACCAAAGGCATCAACCTTATTAGATTTAGTTGTAGAGTACACGTTTAGGTATGTGAGTTGGTCTGACTGATAACCTGTTTGATCATCTACTTTTTTATAGATGTTTCTCAATTTTTTTTGATATTTCGTTTGATTTGATTATGATCATTCCACTTCTCATCTGTCAATTTTTCGTATCGAATTTGTACAGAACATTTAGTTTCTATAATGCATAAAGAAAGCCGTTTATTTTTTTAAACGTCAGGAATGCCAAGTAAATTTGTTCACTGTATTATGTTAACATTTTTTTTTATTTAAGTAATAGTGTAATTTTAGATACTAAGTTTATGTAATCCTGTGTAGGGAGGCATCATGTACTTCCTCCACTGTATGACAATTTAATAATAAAAAATTTGTGTACATAACTTTATCATTCAGGTATATCCTCTACATGTATTATATTGTGTGTCCTTATTAATTTATAAAGTTTTTAAATTTCTAATGTGACAGTTCGACGTTATTGTGGTCTATAAAATTTGAAAATAAAGTACATTTTTACTGGAAATGCTGGTTTTTATTTGTGTTAATTCATTCAAAACAGTTTTGAAGATTTCGGCTGCCTATTAGTTTTAAGATTTAAGGTGCTAAAATATTTTCTTGGTTTTAAAATTGGCGCCAAATCAATACAGGGTACTTCCGTTGGCGCATGCGCACTGATATAGTATTACCCGGGTTCTAGATTAAAAAACGTCCTTGACTGGCGCTGTCGCTCGTAGTGTCCACAATTGTAACTAAGTTGCCAATTTATGAAGTTTACACCCGTGGTTTTGCGGCGTTTGTGCAATTCAATCATATTTCAATCGTGTTAATAATAACTTTAACCGAAAATACTTCCCTAGCTCGCTTCGCAGACTATCTAGAGGTAAGTGAATATAAGCGCGACTTTCTTCCCACTTTTCGGTTCATTACCACATACCCGGTTTTCCTGGATTCGACATGGACAATGATCCATTTTCTCTCCGTGCAGAAATTGCGGTTTTTTCACCCTATTCTGACTATTCGTTCACTTCTTTGCCTTCGAATTTCACTTCTAACACCTCGATGGGAGGAAATTCGACCCCTGGAACGGCCCACAAGGGACAATTGCGCGAAAATTTCGTTATCTACATTCCATGTGTGTAATAATTATGGAATCCCTTTGTCTATCATATTTAAAAAACAATTTCTTCCGAATTATTACAAGTATTTCTTAAGGTATGCTGGTAGTTTTGCCGTTTTCAGGCGTCTTTGCTGGTACACGTTTTCTCAAGTTGTAAATAACTCTTCAGGAATGGTAATGGAGGCTCCCCCATCTCCCCAAAGTGTAGGAAGGGAATTCGTTCGACAATACTACACTTTGCTGAACAAGGCCCCTGCTCATCTACACCGGTAAGTACGACTTTCCACATAAAAAATTACCCAAACACATAATTAATCCCCTGTGATAACGACTATTTTAAATATGCAAATTTTAACCAAACGTTGAACGATTGGTAAAGTTTTCAAATGAAATTAGTTGTAATATTTATTTTTTTCTGGTTTATGTCTGAGTTTTACTGCATAGTAACAATTTATGAGCTATAAGAAAGATAATATTCGAAAATTCAAAATAGTAAATATAAATTATAAACTGAATCTACACCCATGCTGAATTATTGTTACAACTAAGTTTTCATACCAACATGTTTATTTCTTATCATTTTATTGGCTAATTGTTCATAGGCGTCGAATTTAGTCCATGAACTAACTATTCAAAGATCAAAGAAAATTTTATTTACCAATATCATTATTTATTCATTTACAAAAAGCAAGCATTTTAAAGTTTTATTTTTGTCAAAAACTGAATGCAGTAAAAAATTATCATAGTTTAGTTTGCTTAACTTTTTCCCGGTATAATAATTACATGAAAGTGTTCTTGAGATACGTTAAACGGTGAACTTTTAAACAAGGTCACGAAGGTGAGATTCTTTTTATCAAAACACTAATAAGGACTACATTTCATAACAGTGATTTAATTTATTTATGCACCTACTTTGAAAAAATTAATTGAAGCGTAGGTAATTACACTTTACTGAGTTTCAATTCGAGGTGAGGCATTTTTACAAGAATGACCTTTGAAACATATTACGTCACACACATGAAAACAAATCTGTTGTGGGCATTCAGTAAACCTAAATAATAATTAAAAATGTTGTGTTTTTTTTGTATACGCTCTCAAAAACAGCTGTTTTAGGGACTCATTTGAGTTCCTAACATGAATCTTTTCCGGATTCAATAAAGTAGTACGTAAAATGGTTATTTTTGGTACTCAGTTTCCAAAAACTGTTTTTCCGAACTAAAAAATTAAATTTTACTATTGTGGCGAAATTTTTTAATTAATAAGAGGTGTGAATTAGTGTTTTAATAAAAAAATGTTTGTAACACGTACCTAAAACGTTTTTGCGGACTCGGTTTCACCTCGTCCGAGAACAGCGACAATTCGTCTGCAAAAACTGTGTTTTAGGTACTTGTAACAAAGATAACTATTATAGTCGGGTTTCTCAAACGATTTTTTTTAAACAAAGTTCTATTATAATTGTGACTACTAAAAAATAAATAAATAAATGGTTATCCAATTTTTATTGTTAGGTACTAACATAGAATTACACTTTCGATAACTTGTGTCTATTTTTCTGAAATATCTATTCAGAAATATTCAAGAGACAACTTATCTTATTGTATATTATTATTTTTTAATGGAAAATATTAGTGTTGAAAAAATATAAAGCAATCTATTGTGATGTAATTGCTGCAGTTGATTTTTTTATTTTGGTATTTAGTTTTATTTAAGATTTGAGTTTATAAAATTTCAATTTTTGAGAAGTTTTACTAGTATATAAAATAAAAAAATACGTGTAAAGAAAGCTAAAAGTTCCTGTAATTCCTTTAGATTTTACAACCAAAACTCTTCTTTCATTCATGGCGGTTTGGACCCACCGAATCGCGAAACCAGCCCTGTCATCGGCCAGAAACAAATCCACCAAAAAATCCAACAACTGAATTTCCACGACTGTCATGCTAAGATCACCCAGGTTGACTCTCAAGCCACTCTCGGCAAAGGCGTTGTCGTCCAAGTGACCGGCGAGTTATCCAACGCCGGTCAACCGATGCGTCGTTTCACTCAAACCTTCGTATTGGCCGCCCAAAGTCCCAAAAAGTACTACGTTCATAATGACATCTTCAGATACCAGGACGAGATCATCTCCGATGAGGAATGCGAACCGGAAAACCGCTCTGAACCGGAAGACGAGACTCCGCAAGAGTGTCAAGTTTTGAACGATGTCCAGCAGATGAATCAAGCGCCGATCAACTACTACAATCCGACTAATACACCCATGCAGGCTAATATGGCGCCGGTACCCCATCACCAGCAACCCCATGTTTTAGCTCCGCCAGCGGTGCCCCAGGTTAATGGAGCGGTGCATCCGGATGATATCAGCGTAATACCTGGACCTGTGCCCCATGTCAATGCCGCAGCTCAAGGACAGGTCATTCCGACACCCATCACCAATATCCAACCATCGACGATTGTACCACCGTTGAATCCAACGGCGCCGGTCGAGGAAGCCCAAAATGAACTCCAGAATGAGGAGCAACCGGAAATTAATTACAATGAAGTGAACGAGCAGGAAAATGAACAAGATTTGAACCAAGAGCCGGGTATGTTATGAGAAAATTGATAAATCTTTTTTATTTTCTGTTTTTTTTTATAGTGGCGTCTAATGAACCTAAAACCTACGCTAATTTGTTAAAATCTGGCAACAACGTACCGTTTAATAATCCACCAATGGGTACTTCAGGACCGGCTCAGCAACCACGAGCTGTATCACCGGTAATTGTTAAAATAATTATGTTTTTTTAGATATTTATTTGTTGTTTTAGCCGAATATGGGGCCCAGGGGAGAACAAGGAGGTCTAGGAAATCGTAATAACATGAACCGTGGACCTAGGGTTAACCAGCAAAGAGTTCAGAAACAAGATTCGGTTCGGGGAGCCCCCGGTCGGCCTTCTTTTAACGAAGAAGGTACGTTTTATCTGATCTTCAGTTACAAAATATTATATTTTAATTTTTACAGATGATCGGAAACGACCTCAAGGAAACAATTTCGGCGATCAAAACCAACTGTTTCTGGGAAATTTGCCCCACAATGCGACCGAGGAAGAGTTACGAGAGATTTTCTCTGAATTTGGTTCAATTCTCGACTTGAGGGTTCACACAAAACCAGCCAATAAAGCAACACTTCCAAACGGTCGTGCCCCACCAAATTACGGTTTTATTACTTATGAAACACAAAGTGGTGTTCAAAATTGCTTAGCTGCAAAGGTAGTTATAATTCTTGATTGTTTGTTTGGTAATTTGTCGTTTTTAGCCGATTTATTACCCGAAAGATGACAAAAACGGCACTCAATTGAACGTTGAAGAAAAGAAGACCAAGGATCGTCAGTCGTACGGAAGCGGTCGTCCAAGTAGCAATGATAATCGTTCGCGCGATTCCGGTCCTCGTAGGAGCGGTCCGGGTCTGGGAGGAGCCAATAGAAACAACGCAACGGGAGGGAGTCAATCGGGTATAATACCGAATCGGACCAACAACTATAATAGAGGCGGAGGACCCCCGAATCGAGGTCCGAACACGTACAATCGTCGCTAATATGTCTTTGTCGTATCATAAAGTGAACTTCGCGCGAACGAATTGTGAATGGGACGTGTACAGTGTTCAAGAACGGATCAAGACGTTAGTGCCAATAGTGGTTCATTAGCTGCATATTTACATCAAACCATTTCTTTTTCCTCTTGTTTAGGGTTGTTGGACAATGTCCGAATTGATATCCACCAATCAATACTAATAGTTCTCTTTTTCAAGTACTTATTGGCTGTGTTGTATAATGCGATTGGTTGATAAAAAAATGGTATCGTTCGGAGGTTGAGTAACGATAAAAAACAATGTTTCGAGCAGTTTTATGGTTTGAACTTAAATATAAGCAGGTCACCACGGGTCATACGTTACAATTATTTTACATAACCTAACAGCTGTATGCATGTTGATGTTAGTAGCTGCTAACTCGTAACTAAATTTTCTACTAGACCCTTATTTTTTATTTTTTAATGCCAAATGTACATTATATAGGAAATGTACATAAATAAAGATTTGAATAAAAAGTAGTCTTTTTATGTGAGTATGATATTAAAGAAATTAGTAGAAAATTTAGTGTATTTAGCTTCTAAGGTCACCTATTCATATGGTTCTAAACATAATTAAGAACTTTTGCAATTGTATTTTTTCAGTTACTTTTAAGTATTTATCTTTTTTTAAGGTTCATTAAGTACTTTCTTTCGAAAATTATTTTATTCAAGTTGTATCCAACGTCAAACGCAACTTGATTTATTATACACAATAGAAAGTTTTTATCTTTTGCAGCTAACCAATTTTGATTTTATCAAAATTTTTAATCAGTCACCCAGCCATAATTTTTGTTAAATGCTTTAAAGTGTTTGTGTCCATGTTAAGTTCAAGTTACATGTAAATAAATAGAGGGTGTATTCCCCATTTTATTTAAGGTAGCATGTGAAAGCGTTTTGTTAATTTTTATAAATTTGTCTGGTGAAAAAGTGGAATGTTATTTACAGGCTTAGTTTCACTTTTTTAATTCCCTAGATTTTTGTTACAGTATTTGTTCCTTTTTCCCTGTGATAAATCACCTTTTCTCTCAAAAAATACACTTGACACCGTTTTAACCAAAGTTCTTCCTTCGCTAAACTAAGACTTGTGCAGGTTCCACTAGTCACAATTCAACTTTCAGGATCTTTTCAGTTTGTCGTTCCTGTAATATTGTCAAATTGTTATTAGTAACATTAAAGGAAATTGTTACAGCAATCTGAGTGTTTCATTTTTAACTCAAAACATTTTTCAACCTGAAAAAATCGCCAATGAAACAGCCATATTGTTGGTTGCATACCTGTTGGAATTAAAATTCTATTTCTAACAAACTCGTATTTTAAACAAATTAGACCAAATGCTTCCAAAAACAAATGAAATACTTATGAAATTTAACAACAATAATAAATATTCCGCATCTTGTAACGGGGTCACCCAATATCTCCCAAACTTTACCATACGAACTCAAAAATCTGGCTTATTTAATTCATCTCAATAACCAAAGCGTCAGTTACTTAACATTTGTTTCAACTATTAATTAAACTGATGTCACAAAGCGCTATTTGATTATAAAAACGCATATGGGTCGCCCAGATGTTAAACTTCAGCTTAAGTCTCATTTAAATTTTATCCACGTCATAAGTTTTAAAATTTATGATGGGAGAAAAGAGACGAGAGAGTGGGATTTGAGGGAATTTATCTCCGGTTTGTGGGCGATGCTTCTCTTTAGCTGCTTGGAGTAATTTATTCGTTATTCCAGTTGGTGTGGTGCTCGAAGGCGGCCACATATCAAAAAACTGGTAAGTATGTATTAGTTAATATGGGTTTAATTGCTTTTTCTTTAGTTTCAAGCCAATTAAAGGATTATTTTCAATAAAAAAATATATAAACAAGAGAATTATTTAGTTTTTTATTGCCAGCTTTTATTTACCTTGTTTTGTTTACTTATGTTTCCAAACTCGCTTAGGTAACTAAATGTTAAAATTTTACTCAGCGAGATTGCGCGAATCATTTTTTTTTTCAAGGTGTAATTGTAAGGAACAATTTGTTGCAGCTATTTTTTTTTAATAAGAAATATGACGTAATGAGCTTTTCCTAGTTAAAGTCTGGCATTGTTTAATTTATTGCTCTTAAAATAACTTTGACTCAATTTCATTTTATTGTTGTAATGTTAGCAAACTCTTGAATTAACTGCGAGGCAAAAATAGTGCTGACTTCAAATGTTATAAATTGTTCAATGAATTTAAATTGTATTTCTTTAAGTCTTTAGGGGTTATCGTTATTATTTGGGCCGTCCTTGATTAAAAATTATCTTTAGATTCTAACGTATCCGAGAATGATAAGACAATCAAAACAAAAATTCTTGTTAAAACCACCAAACCCAACAAAGAGCTGTGTTTGTATTACTTAATTACATCATCTGCGTTTTATACATCAACGCAAAACAATTTTATTTAGTTTCCAGGAAGTTCAATGAATCGCGTAGACTTAACTATAATTTTAAACAACTGTAAATGAATCGCGTCTAAACACCTAATTTTGCCATGAATTAAATTATTTCCTGTTGATATACCAGCGGATGAGGCAAAAGAGATAATTCTCTCCTCCTACATTGTCCTTGTTTTATCATTTAGCACAAGTTTTTTGAACCGATAAAATTTTTCTAAATAGATCAAATTTTGCTTTTTTATGTCTGGATTCTAATCTGATCGATTTTGCGTAGGCTTTAAATGTAAACCATGATGTCATTTCGGAAGGATTACTGTTTTAAACATTAAACCATGTGTTCATAAAGTCGATGGAAATAGATGTGCTCAATTACGCGACACTTTCATTGTTAATTTCAGGCAAAATGAAGTTTCTTCACTTGACTTTGACAATTTTCGTCGTGTTTCTGGTCACTGAGGGCTTGACCGAGAAAATTGTAAGTCACACAAATTGTTACCACATTTTTCTAATTCCTTTTATTAGAGAAAACACAAAAAATACAGGAAGCATCGCAAACCCGCACTTGAGGAGACCGAGTCAGCCGATACGAGTAAAACTTTGGAAAAAAATGACATCGAGGCCCCACCGGAAGTGACTGATGAAGAAATTATTGACAATCGCGTCCCTCTCATTGGTAATTAATCTCTGATTGTTTTTTTTTTTCTCACATAGAGTTGCAGATCCCTGCATTAAGGTGCATTGCGGGGCTGGGAGGGTGTGCGAAGTGGACTCTGAGGGCGAGCCCCAGTGCGTTTGCATCCCCACGTGCCCCGTTGAGACCGAACCTCGACGAAAAGTCTGCTCCAACCATAACGAAACTTGGAGTTCAGACTGCGCTGTCTATCAACAGAGGTGTCTGTGTGATAGGGGTGACCCGGAATGTAAAGGAGAGCAATACAAACATGTCCATATTGAGTATTACGGCGAGTGCCGCGAGATGAAAGTATTGTTGCAATTTATTATTTCGGCCCTTGTAATTATTTAATTTTTTTAGCAATGTACCAAAGAAGAAATGGCCGATTTCCCTCGCCGAATGCGCGATTGGCTCTTCAACATCATGCGAGACTTGGCCGACAGGTCCGAATTGACCCCTCATTACCTCAAGATGGAACGCGAGGCCGAATCCAACATGACTCGTCGCTGGACAAACGCCGCGATTTGGAAATTCTGCGACTTGGATGGCTATCCTCCAGACCGGTCCGTTTCTCGTCACGAGTTGTTCCCCATTCGAGCTCCTTTGATGGCCCTCGAGCACTGCATAGCCCCCTTTTTAAACTCGTGTGACGTCAACGATGACCATAGAATCAACATCAAAGAATGGGCCAAATGCTTGGAATTGGACGAAGACGAAATTGAAGATAGGTGTGAAGAGATTAACGATGCTGAGGAATAATTTTAGGTTTTGTGGCGCTCTAATGCAGAATTAAATGGTGCTAAAGTCCTAACTAGGTCATAGATAACGAAGAGTTTTTGTAAATTTTATTTGTACTTATAGATGGATTTATTGTGAATAACACTGCCTTATTTTTATCGTATTTTTGTATAAAATGCTATTAATGCAAAATAAATACCTAGTAGTTTTGATTTTAGAACTTGCGTTTTATTATTTTTGTAAGAATCCAAAAAGAAGCTCTTAGATTTCTTCCTGTAGTTGTGGGAAGAATCGAATCGACTAGTGAATAATCAATAAATAAATAAAAAAATCGACTTCTATGGAGTAACTAGTAATATTTTATGTATGAATATTTAGCTATTTATGCAAGACGGTAAAGAAATTGTTTATCTACGAGTGAAAAGGTTAAATTTACGAGTGACTTTTTTCACGACTCGATAAGCATCTTTATCGTCGTGTATAATAAAAGTGGAATATAAACAGTGGATAAAAATTACTTTTGTTCCACTAGACGATAAAAGACTACTTTATCTACTGAAATTAGTTGATAAAAACATTCTTTAACATTGAGTACAAAATAAAAGTTATACCGTGCGATCAAAAATAAAATAAACTAGAGTAGGCGTCGATTAAATTCTACAGTTGGCAACACATTGGCTGGAAATTTTCCACACAAACTGAAATTGAAAATGACCATTTACCGTTTTCGTTTTATGCAGCTATAAACATTTTCTGCTCTAAAGTGAACATTATTTTTCTCAAAAAGAATAAAACGCAAACTTGTCAAAGTTTCCGCTGACATTGATGTCAAAAATCAGGATTGTCATCTGAAGGACTTTAATCATCGCGTTATCGCTTTTTTTGATCGCATTTTTAAACCTTTTATTTTGTACTCAATGTTAAAGAGTGCTTTTATCAACTAATTTTAGTAGATAAAGTAGTCTTTTATCGTCTAGTGAAATAAAGTGACTAAGAAATTCTGATAGGTGAACAAAATAAAACGAAATATTATACACGACGATAAAAATTGTTTATTTAGTCCTGAAAAAAGTCCACTCGTTAACTTAACTTTTTCACTCGTAGTTAAACAATTTCTTTATCGTCTTGTAAATAGAAAAAAACCGCAATGCTAGGCAATCAACAATACACAAAATTGTATCAAAATTGAACAACTTTTGCAAAATGCATTCTTCAAATTTGTGCAATTTTACAAGATTTGCGTTTGTTAAATGTAATCTGCTAAGGACAATACACATAATTTGATATAAACGCCTTGAAAAATATTCAAAAATTGTAGGTTTATGTAGTTTGTATACCCTTCAAATTTCAAATAAAAATAAAAAAGCCGTCATTTTTCTATCGCTTTTTAAGTGAAGTTGGTGTAGAATCGACATAGCATTTTAGTAGGAGCATTTTCCAGCACTTTTAAAATATTTGTGGATGCTGTTTGTGTATTTTGAAAATTTGAAAGCGGTTGAGAAAACTTAAACGCGTGTTAAAAACGGCTACAACTTGCTCAATATTAGGCAATATTTTTCAACATTGTTAAACTTTTAAAGTGCTATTTAACTTAAACCCGGAAACTCAAATTAAACAATTTTCTTAGACAATAAATATTAATAAATAATTATTTATCCGTTTCCCTCCAAATTTGAATTTTTCAAGGTTAAAAAACCGAAGCCAAGCTTTCCCCATTGCCCAATCGATAGACATCACATCTAGCCGCATCATACTTTTCCTGTCATTGGTCAAGCCAGGTCACGTGCCCCAACTCTCACCGTTCGTTGGCTAAAATTTATCATTTGGCGGGCTACGTTGTGAGAAGCCGTTGTAAGAGTTGTGCAGCGAAAGCGTTAGTGGCGTCTAAACGAAAATGGTGAGTAATTTTATCGAAATTTACCCCAAAAACCTTTGTTTCACACTCGAAACTTCAATTTTGTAGTTCCCCCCATGTCAGGACGCACTTTGTGCGGCTTATCACTCGTCACTATTTTTTGTGTTGTTTTCAGGCTGGTGGCAAAGCAGGCAAAGATTCGGGCAAAGCAAAAGCCAAGGCGGTGTCTCGTTCGGCGCGTGCCGGACTCCAGGTGAGTGTCTTTGGGACTTCTGCGCCCCTGAACAACCTTAGAGGTTAGGTTAATCCGCCCCCGGTATTTTGTTTAGTTCCCCGTTGGGAGGATCCATCGTCACTTGAAGAACCGTACTACGAGCCATGGACGCGTAGGGGCCACCGCGGCTGTGTATTCTGCCGCGATTTTGGAGTATTTGACAGCTGAGGTGAGAGGGTTCTAGGTTAGGTCTAGATTGGGACTGTCTATGTTGCAGGTTTTGGAGTTGGCCGGAAATGCCAGCAAGGATTTGAAGGTGAAGAGAATCACCCCGAGACACTTGCAGTTGGCCATCAGAGGGGATGAAGAGTTGGACAGCTTGATCAAGGCCACTATCGCCGGAGGAGGTGTCATTCCACACATCCACAAGAGTTTGATCGGGAAGAAGGGGGCGCACTCGCAACCTGTCTAAGTGTTGTTGTAGGTGTAGAAGAGACTTATGTGTCGATGATGTGTTTTAATATTGTTGGGCACATGTTTGATGATGCAGGCTAACGCTTGCAAATTTCTTAAAATTCTAAATAATTTGTTATTGAAATTCCAAGTTTGTTCAGCTGCAATGAGCTGTTTTTTCTCCAGTTTTTAGTTTTTGAGTAATGTTTTTTTAATGTGCCTTCTCCTTAAACATATTCGTTTGTGACTAGGTTTAAGTTTTTTAGTACGTAAATACTACATTTAACTTAGGAGATGTAAGTTTGTGTTCATGTCATACAAATAAATACTTTCTTACTTCATATTCACCATTTTTCATTTTGCAAGGGTCTAGAGTTTGAGAAATTCGTGTTCCTAAATATACAGAAAAATTGATAGTTTTTTGTATGTGAAACGAATAAAAATTCAAATTCAAACTGCTCTTTATTATTTTACAATAAACGAAAACTAGACCTTACTTTGTCCAAAAAATGTTCATTTCAAAAAAATCAAAAATTTTATTTGACGTTACTAAAAAAAAATGACATCACAACGTATGTAGCCAACCAAACAAAAAATAAATTCAAATTTAGCAAAAAAATTAAAAGTGCGCAATTGCAAGTATAAAGGTCATTTTATCACATTATCCCTACACATCAACTCAATAATTATTTATTTGAGTGGGGGGGCAATTACAAATACTTGTAATATATCTAATCAACAGTCTTCGAATATATACAACACAGCCTTTAAAAAATTAACATCTAGTATACACGAGCTGCAGGTAAGTCTCGTAGTCAAATATGTATTTCCAATAATTAGATTTTTTTGAAAAAAAACTTTTTTGTTTCTTAATGTGGTGATTTGTGCTTTTAAGTTGTCCACGTGTTTATCTGTCAATGTCACAATTTCTAGGTTATGTTTACAGCCTAATTAAAAAAATTCGTAAAAAAATTCTTGTAATGTGTTACAGTTTATCTGTGAGATACCCGTTTGTGCCCTGTTTGTTATGACCTAATTTTTCCAGAAAATGTATCGCGGGGGTACGAGTGAGATATGGAACCCTTGTCAAGATTTATTTTGTTCATATCCGAGCGCTGGTCACGCTGTTCTCATTTTAAATACCGAATTTAACTTGCCTCCAAGCATTTTGCTCAATTTGTGGAACCAAGGTAGTGATTTAAGTAGCGAAAAATTAGTCTCCTCAAGTAAATAGGATTTTAGCTAAAGTTAGGGTAACGGTGGATGGGGGCACTAGTAGGTGGTTGTCGTGGCTGAAATCACACCATTTGGATTACGAGGGGGTTCACCCGCCTGACCTAATTACCGGAGACATGGATTCGTTGTCAAAAGATGTTTTAGATTACTTTGCACAAAATCAAGTAACAAAAGTTGTTAAAACACCCGATCAGAACAACACTGATTTCACTAAAGCCCTAATCGAATTGAATAACACTTGCATAGCACAAAATCTACAAGTACAGATAATTTTTTATGGCCATATTATTTTCTAATTATTTTTTTTAGCTTGAGTCAGTTTTTGTCATTGCAGATACTTGTGGAAGATTTGATCAAATCATAGCTAACATTAATACTCTTTGTAAGGCACCGAAAATTCTAAAAAAACTTAAAGTTTATCAAGTCGCATCAAATTCAATCACCTGGTTATTACCAGACGGGGATCACACAATTCAAATTCCTTCAAAATTGAGGAAAAGCAATGAATGGTGTGCCTTAATCCCCCTCAAATCACCAACGTATGCCACAACGACGGGTTTAAAATGGAATCTAAGTACGAATGGAACACTTTTGTTGTTTTTATTGACTTTGTTTTTCTAGACCAATCAAAATTGGAGTTTGGGGGGTTAGTAAGTACTTCAAATACATATGATGGCGTTTCGTCTGCAGTCACTGTTTCCAACGATAATACTTTGATTTGGTCAATGGGAATAGAAACACTTCTAGATGGTGATAAACATAAATTTTAAATTGAAATATTGGGTGGCCTTATTCCTTAATAGACGATTCACTTAGAAAAAATTATAATATATTTGTAGTAGGTAGCTGGTATCTGTTTAAAATTGCTGTGAATAGGCAACTATAATCTAAAAGTTCCTCAAATGTAAAAACAAAACTGAGCTTTAAAATAATAGGAAGTAATTTGTCCTTGACTGTCCTCCGCAATTCAATACAGATATTAAGTGCTATTGAAGCCATGACTGTGTCATTTTTTTGAAAATATTTATTTTTGTATATAACGTTAATAAAAATTTGGTTGTTATAAGTTTGTTTTATTAAAAAAAACTCGTTTTCGTTCTGTGCAAAGTAAGAAGAAAATGAAAAACTGGAAATAAGGATATTCTAGTTTATGTTGGAAAAGTGGGGAGGAACAAGAATAGACTGCGCGCTGCCCTACTCGCTATATCGTGGCTAAGCCCGGTCCTTATAAGGGGAGAGTAAGAGAAGGATGAACCCAAAAAAAATTCCTTTCCTGTATTCCTAAATAAATATTTTCGAAAACGTAAAAAATGCGAATTTCTTGGCACCCACTAGTGCAAAATTAGTTTCAACAGTGATAAATGACATAATTTGGCAGTCAATTTCGAGATGAAGATTTAGTAAATTGCTATTTGTAATTAGCACATTTTATGTACTAATCAATCTTACCACTTAATTAAGCTCTATTTACAAACGCGACAAGATATCAATTTCATACAAGTGTCATATTTTTCGCCTATATTTCTGTTTCTAAATAAAAATGCAACACTTAAGTGTGGGTGTATTGCGCGCGCAAAAGGGGACTCTTCTCCGTAGAGCTGACCTGGGGATAGGACAGTCACTGCGGGCTCCCTGAGTTGTGTGGTGCTCCTGGACCGCTTTTTGTCATCCACTTGTTGTAAGTGACATTTTTACACAGCTAGACCTTTTCATAGCTAATACTCATACTAAAATCTCTTTAAAAAAAGAATACGAATATAAAATTGCACAATTTTCACACTAGCGCTCTTTCACCCTCTCAAAAGGAGATTTGAGAGCGAGTATGTTAGCATCCAGATTTCACAATTTCGACAATCTACTATATGTACTAGTATAGAGCCATGAAAATGGTCGTTTTTATTTTTTTTTGTTTTTTTTTATTGTTAGTTTTTTGTTTATAATTTTGTATTGTTCTTGCGAGTAATAAAATTGTTACTGTTAAAATCTAGATTTATGTTAAATTTATTTTGGGAGCTGTAAGTGCAGACGTCCGAGCCAAGAATAACTCGTCCAAGTAGCGCTGCCAAATACAGCCACACGCTAGCCCTGGTATAATTTACATTACTACTAGTAGTTAAAATTTTACATAAAACTCCTATTGTATTTAAGACACTTTTTAATTAATTATTCCCTAACAAAATTTGACTCAAATCCAATTAAGGGTCTAAAATTAGAAAATTCTTGGATCGGTACAATACCTAAATATAACCAATTGTTTGTTTTGTGTCCAAGATTCGAGAACATTAGGCAATACTTAATATATTTACCTGTGCTTAAAACGCCATTTGAGTTCGGGGTTTTGACTGTGTTTGTTTTTCCAGAGTTTTTTCCTAAACGCCTTTGACCATGTCTGATGAGGAAGAAGTCTACTCGTAAGTATTTTTAATTCGAGCGACGATAATTAGGTGCTTCTGCGTTATTTTTATTTTTGTCGTTTTATTTATTTTGGGCTTCCTTGGCTATTAGAGATATGTAAAAAAATCGGTAATTTTTTAACTGTTCAAATATTTTAGCGAAGAGGAGGAGGAGGAAGAGGAAGTTGTAGAAACGTAAGTGTCCCAATTACCTTAAAAACGCACTTGAACCGTGCGTTGATTTTTTTCTAATTGTCCATTGTGCAAATATCCATCTAATAAAAACCTATTTTTTCTTTTACAGAAAGTAAGTAAACCCTTCAACCCAAGTCACTGTTTGGTAGAGTAAAACCTGAGATGTAGTTAGAGTTTGTTCCAAAATTTTTTTTGAAAATTGTTCCAGTTTTAAAATATTTTTTATTTTGTAATTTTTCTTTTCCTTTCACCTCGCCCCTGCCCTTTGTGATGTGTACCCCACAGGACTACAACAACAACAACCACCAAAGTCGAGTAAGTCCAAAACCGCTTAAAACTTTACTTATTTAAACTAAAATGTTTAAATACGTAAAGTAACCCGTTTTAAGCTTGGATTGGCTTCGTCAAACTTCGCATTGTGTTCGTTTTCTGCAATAATACCACTAGAAGAAGATATTTCCAGCGACTCTTCCAGCTTTTCATGCGCTCTATTATTAATTTTTGTCTACTCACAATAGAAGAGAAAAGCCCAAAGCATAACAGCTTTAAATTGGCCTCTAAATTTACTCGTAATTTCTAGTTTGAGAAACAAAATTAAAAGGGCAGAAATGGTCATTTTGCGCTACTTGCATCAACTGCATTTTCATTAAAAAATGTATTAATTTGTCGAAACAAACAGGGAAGGAGCTGGCGATCCAGAATTCATCAAACGTCAAGATCAAAAAAGATCCGACTTAGATGAACAACTTCGCGAGTACATCACGGAATGGCGCAAACAACGTGCCAAGGAAGAAGAAGAACTCAAGAAGTTGAAGGAGAAACAAGCCAAGCGTAAAATCAGTCGTGCCGAGGAAGAGAGAAAGATGGCTGAAAGGAAGAAGCAAGAAGAGGAACGCCGTATCCGCGAAATTGAAGAGAAGAAACAACGTGATATTGAAGAAAAGAGACAACGGTTGGAAGAAGCCGAGAAGAAACGTCAAGCTATGATGCAAGCCCTGAAAGATCAAAATAAGAACAAAGGACCCAACTTCACCATCACCAAACGTGATCCTTCCTCGAACTTGAGCGCGGCGCAACTTGAAAGGAACAAGACCAAGGAACAATTGGAAGAAGAAAAGAAAATTTCTCTGTCCATTCGTATCAAGCCTTTGGTTCTTGATGGTCTCAGTGTTGATAAACTCCGGGAAAAAGCTCAAGAATTGTGGGATTGCATCGTTAAACTGGAAACTGAAAAATATGATTTGGAAGAAAGGCAGAAACGTCAGGACTATGATGTAAGCAAGGAAAGTAAAATAAAAACATGAGATAAAATATTTTTTCTAGCTTAAAGAATTGAAAGAAAGACAAAAGCAGCAACTCAGGCACAAGGCCTTGAAGAAGGGCTTGGACCCCGAGGCTCTCACTGGCAAATACCCTGTATGTTTTTATAACTTGTCTTTTCAAATGATTTAATGTTTGATTACTTTTTCAGCCTAAGATCCAAGTAGCTTCCAAATATGAGCGTCGTGTCGACACCAGATCGTACGACGACAAGAAAAAATTGTTTGAAGGTGTAAGTATACCAAAATTAGTAAAAAAAAGGACCGACAGTTACGTTGTGACCGTAAATATGATTTCTATTAGGGTTTTGATCACCTAAATATGGAACTTTTGGAAAAAGTTTGGAAAGAGAAAGTCGGCGAGTTCGAAAGCCGGTCGAGAAGTAAGTGGGCATATACGTTTTTTGTTGTGCCCATTTTTCTATTAATAACTTGTCTCGTGTCCTTTTTCTAATCACAAAACTGTACTGTGCAATGTCTGAGTGTGCGTTTTACGTTTTAACAGGGTTATGAAGAAATCACCAAGGAAATCAATGAAAAACTCTGGAAAGACAAAATTGGACAATTCGATTCGAGACAAAAATGTAAGACTTGCTTGATTGTTTGCTTGTGACAAAATTTCCAGAGGCAGATTTTAAAATGTTGGTATTTTAGCTAAACTTCCCAAATGGTTCGGTGAAAGACCCGGCAAAAAGAAGGGCGATCCTGAAACACCTGAAGGTGAAGAAGAAGGCAAACATGCTGCTGATGACGATGAAGACATCAAGGAGCCTGTGTTTGAACCCGAACCCGAAGAGGAGGAAGAAGAAGAGGAGGTTGAAGTAGAAGAAGAGGAAGAGGACGACGAGGAGGAAGAAGAAGAATAAACCACCAACGCTTTTTCCCTGATGGTACTTTTTATCTTATTTTATTTTCGTTTCCAACAAATTTATTTGTAATTAATAAACTGTATTTGTAATCAAATAAACATCGTTACAGAAAGAGAAAAATCAAAACAGTTTTTTCCAAATAAAACTTTATTAATACAATCATAGAATACAAATTATGCAGCAATAACTTTACTTTGTTGCCCTTTCTGCGTCATATTTATCTTGTCACCCAAACTCAAAGCCATTCCCTGCAACAACAAACACTAAAACTGGTAACTCACAATCAGTTCTACCAACCTGACTCTTTGCTCTGATCCTGATATGTCCAGTAACTGGTGCATCAGGCTTATTGAACGGTTTTTCAATACTCAAATTGGCAAGTGCATCCTCTCCGAAAATTGATTTCGCGTACATATTTGCCGCCATAAAACCACACTGCCCTGACAAAGCTTTCTCAGGTGTCAAACACTTCATATTAGTGCTTTTAATCAAATGTTTCAAATATTCCGCAAGATCGGTTAAGGTTGTATTAACCGAAACCTTATTTTCCCATTCAAACTCAGCCCACATTTGCCTGAATTCGGAATCACTACAAGTGGCAGGGACTATGTAATCCATAATATCAATATGGATGTCATCCAGAACCACCACATTTCGGTCAGACGCCGCTCCCGTGACGTCATAAACAATATTCCCGAAAATAATCCCGTTTTCAGTCGAAGCCACTTTGACGTTGGCTTTGATATTACAGAAATCTTTCGGCGCGAGAACCACCGGTTGCGGTTTTTCCACCAGTTTCAAGTCGCCCAGTGTTGCCAACTCGAGAGTACAATTTTGTAAAGTATCATTCGTCTGATTGACTATCAAAACATCCAAAACAATATCATACTGATTAACATGGACATAAGCTTCGGCATAAACAGGGTCCGAGAATCCGGTCAGTTGAGTCACCTTGTTTAGTTTATTAACACCAGTATTTGTATCAGTGCTACCACCACGACCACCAACCAAAGCTTGTGATAACGACGTTTCGAAAACATTTTCTCCTAACTCACCCGACTTGTCGGCTTGTAATTGCATAAAATTAATCGGATCATCGGCGTGTATAACATTTCCAGCCTTCTCTTTAGCTTTCTGATTTAGTGCTTCTTCGATTTCTTTAGCGACTAACATATCGTTAAGTGCTTGTCGGCACAGATCTGTGAAGACTTTAATGATGGTAGGTTGCCGGTCTGAAAGGACTCGCAAACAGAACAAAATATGGTCCTTATCATCATTCGTCATTGCTTTAGTTGGCAAACCTGATTTCCCCAAATGAATAATCCCGGCCATAATCATCATAACTTCGGCATCGAACCGATTCTTCTCAACCGGTTTAACCGAATTCCCATACCTTAGAGCCAATTTAGTTAAAGTTGACGCAATGGAAGCCCCGATAAAGAAATCACCGTCGATTAAATACTGACGGAGCGGGGGCCGTTTCTCTTTTGTGCTTTTTCTAAACCCGAGAAATTTTACAAACCGGCATCCAGGTAAGTGATTGATACTTACTGAATAGTATTGAATGCAGATTGGGTCGCGTAAGTTCCATCAGAGGTCACGAGAGTGCTGGAGGGTTGTGCTGGGTTTGTTTGGGTGGCTTCTTCGGAGTCTCCGGCCACTAAACGCTGCTCCGCTTCTAGAAGAGGGCCCTCACCTAAGGTGTGATTGATTGCTTTGAGTACAGCCTGGATATCAGCCACTGTTGTAGCGTATTCGCCTAAAATCCAGAGAGCGGCTCTGTGGATTTTCACCGATTTTATATTAGGGAAAGCTTCAAGGAGTTTCTGAAAAAGAAGCAAGAAAATCTTCATTATTTTTGAACAAAAAACCAACAATTTACTATAGTTTCGTAAAAAATCCATTGTGGGCATTACAAAACGTTTTATTATTATACAGGTGTTCGGTCCAAGTCGCCCCAGCCGATAACACCTAAACTTACTTTTTTTTTTTTCAAAAACTAAATTTTCAAATAATACTATTCATTCCTAGCTTTCTAAGTAAATTCATCAAATTTTTTTGGCACATTCGGTGTAGCCGGAAATGCTACCAAATTAGTTTTTCAAATGGAACACCTATGTTTTTTTGCTCGAGACAGTAATAATTGGCATGAAAAATATGGTAAACAACTATTTATTACATTTTACTTTACATAATGCACTCAGAAAACAATTTAAATTTTAGAATTTTATTAGCAAATTTTGCAACGTAGGCGGATTTTACTTGTCAAGGTATTCATGCAAAAAGCAATATGCTTGGATATCGTTTAATTGTTATTTTGACAAAGCCTAATTTGTTAATAAATCTCATTGAGATTTTTTAATAATGGATGATAATAATTACGACGAATTGGTAGATCAGCTTGAAAGACAGTATAGAGAAAAAACCCAAATAGAGTTCACCCAAATGTTGAATATTTAGTCGAATTCAAAAACAAATGAGACGACCAGGTTCGCTTCTTAAAACTAAAAAACCTGTGGATCTTAGTGAAAAACAAGAAAATGGAAATCTGAATGTTCTGTTAAAAATTAGGTTACGCGACCAATTTCCTTATAGAATTCTAAGATTTAAGATGTTTTCTGATTATTAGTATTACGCAAAATGTAATAAATAGTGGTTTACCGTATTTTTTATGCCAATTATTATTGTTTCGAGAAAAAAAAAACATAGGTGTTCTATTTGAAAAACTAAATTTGGTAGCCCTTCCGGCAACACCGGATGTGCTAGAAAAATTTGATACATTTATTAAGAAAGCCAAGAATTAATATTATTACTTAAATATTTACTTTTTGAAAAAAGGAAGTAAGTTTAGGTGTTATCAGCCGGGGCGATTTGGACCGAACACCCTGCATAAATAACAGTATTTTTTAATATAAATTATAGCATCCAGTGATCGTTTTTTATTGACAGTTAAACGTCAACTTTTTTCACTTCTGTTGAATCAAAACCTCCAATTTCCTTACCTCAATTATAAGTGGCTGCAAATTATCAAATTTCTGAATCGCCTCTCTGACGAAAATCAGAACGTCAACAGCTGCAAGCTCATTTGTGTCTGATAAGAATTCGACCAAAACCGGAATAACAGTCGCCGCAACATCTGGAAACCTAATACAACAAGAATGTAAAGTCCGGACTAGCAGTTGTCTATATTTTCCGGTATCTTCATGCTCAACATCGTGAGTTTTCGCAACTTCTTTCTTCAAAACTAAGACCATTTCTTCAATATTTCGCGACGAGACTAAATCCATCGCCAGATTGAGAGTCTTTTTGCGCACTTCCAAATCAGGGCTTGATAAGACTCTCAAGATATCCATGACCAAGTCTTGAAGAACCCTTTCATGAGTTGGATGGTCTTTAAGTGCGATTAAACGATCCAAAACTATGAGTTTAACATTGTTGTCGCTTTCTTTGATTATAAGTTCAATATAGCAACTGGCGGCTGCTTTGATAGCAGTGGGGGCTGTCGAGAGGGTGACTAAAGTGCCCGCAGCCTCATATCGTACAGCGGGACTACTCGAATTGAGCAAATTGTAAATACAACGAATAAATCTGGACCGTTCAGATGGATTACTATGACAAACTTTATAAATCAATTCGACTATAACAAGCTGAAGGATGTCCCCAAAAGAGGTCACCTGGTCCAGACACGAGGCCAAGTAAGACAAGGCACGTTCCTGATCGGCGTGAAGAAGCATAAGAAACGCGTTTCTCTTACAAGACATGTCTTGCTCCCCATCTAAATAATTCGAAATTAATTCCGGCGCGTCCGGAATCAAGAATTCAAAGTTTCGATAAATCGTGAAAATCGCAAGAACGGCATTGCGCCTCACGTAGGAGTGTCTGTGTTCCAAGCAGGCCCGAATTGAGGGCATCAAAGGCTCCAAAAGCTCAGGTTCCTTCAATTTACACAAAAAACGTAAAGTTGAGCCTCTTAGAAACTCATTAGGGTGTTGCAAATCTTTGCGATAAGCGTCACAAACGAGGATCATTTCTTGAAGAAGTTTACCGTCAGGAGATGTCTTGGGGACAATCTCCCAAAAGATGAGAAGTAGCTTTTTAGCGGTGTGGTCTTGTAAAGGAAGAACATAGCGAATTATGATCATGAGCAGACCTGGTGGCAAACGCTCGCCGGCGAGGATCATATGAATGGTTTTCTTTAGGGCTTCAACTTTTTGTTTGACATCACCCTTCTCTAAAATCGAACGATAAGAAAGGGTTGAAAAAGAGGTTCACGAACCTAAATCCATTTTGAGTTGCATTTCATTGTAGGGTTCTGTATCAGTGGGGACATTTATGAGGGTGTAACAGGGCTGTTCGACAGTAGTCATTGTAGAGATTTACCTGGAAATGGAATGAATATTTCAAAATTGTAAGAGAACACGAGTTTAGGGTTAAGGCGTAGAAAAAGCGAAACAAATGTGCTAACAAAAAGAGACATGCAAAGGTACAATATAATGTAGAAAACAATTTTTTCATACCACTTCAATAGAGAAAAAAACACTTGTTTAACACAAAATACGTAATGTTAATATTTTTGTAATTAAATGTCAACGACGTGTCAACCTATTTTTGACAGTTGAAAGAATAAAACTAGTTAGGCAACTAAACGCACAAGAATGTTATGCAACCAGTAAATCATTAAGTTATGATACCATGCGAACAAAAAAAAAAAAATTAAAGTAGGCTACGATTAATATTCTACAGTTGGCAACACATTGGCTGGAAATTTGGCTGGAAATTTTCCACACACTGAAAGTGAAAATGACCATTCACTCTTTTAGTCTTGTTTAGACTTTTGTAATAACTTTCAACAATAAAAATATTCTGCTCTAAAGTGAACATTATTTCACTCAAAATAACTAAAAACAAACTTGTCAAAGTTTTCGCTGACATTTGATGTCAAAAATCAGGACTGCCATCTGAAGGACTTTAATCAACACCTACTCTAATTTTTTTTTTTGATCGCACCGTACATGTTAGCATGTTACATAAAAAGTATAAATCTTACGACAATTAGCTAAAATGCTCAAGCAAATGTACTTTGGTCTTATCTTGAATCGCGAGAAATAAACCACTAAAGAGTTGCTTTATTTATCTTTATTATAACACCTTAAAACATCACAATGGAATGAATATTGGATACGAATTCATAAAACATTAATATAGAATAAATATTTTTACATATACATTTTGTTTGATTATGTTACGACGAACATTAAATCACAGCAAATGTGGTCATTAGTTAGTTGATAAATCAGTGCTTTATCCTTAAATTCGCCAGCTCTTATTGTCGTTTTAATTCCAAAATAAATATAAGTACAACGTGTTGCACCTAAGACTTTCATAGTCAATATCTCAATTCAGAAGTACATTTTAAAACTGATGTTAAAATGTCTGAAAAATCCTAACTGCATCATTCAATAAAGCAGAATTTCTGCTTAATAGCTGGCGTTATTCCCTCTCATAGAAATGCTCATCCTCCTCTCAGCTCTGGCACTTAAATCCTGCGATCCTCCTGACCCAATAGGAGGATACCTCCACCTCCACGGTCTCTGCTGTAGATGTCCATCCGTCGATGCCCTCTCCCTAAACGGAATATTTTCTCCGGGACTACTTGCATTGCTCTCTTTACTTTCATCCTCATCCTCCTCCTCCAACTCCACTTCCGTCCACCTCCGACTGAACATCCCAATCCTACAATTGGGTATAAGCCCACTGGGAGATACCGCCGCCGAACAAAGTAACTTAACGCTATCAGGACTCATCGGCTCCTTTTCGCTCCCACTTCTCCTCATCTTGGGATTTTTATTCTGTACGCGCCAAAAGCGGCAAACGTCCCGGAAAACCGACCACACTTGGTCGATGCTTTCCTGGACGGAAATCTCGTGGAAGCAAACACAGCCGATTTCTTTGCTACGGCGTTGGCCTTCTTCGAGAGTGACCATGCGGTCTTCCATTTGGTCGATTTTGTTACCGACGAGGACGACAGGGACGTCGAGAATGGGGTCTTTGGAAGTGCCGCCGAGACGACGGCGTCGTTTGTTATAGTTAATGAGGAATTTGAGACGGTAGCATTCGTCGAAGGAGCATTTGTCGGTCACGGAGTACATCAGAATGAACGCTTCGGCCCAACGAATGTTCGCTTCCAAAGCCAAGCATTCGCTTTCCTAAAACAAATACTTCAAAACTAACATTTGCAAACTATAATAAAAAGCCCAACAAACTTCATGTTAATTTTCTAAAACAATAAAGGCTTAGATCATCACATGCCTTTTATTTTTTCATTTTTTTGTTGTTAATCATAATAACGACTAAAAAAATATCTTTATAGATATTTTTCAGTAATGCAATGCACATTTTTTAACAATGACTTCAGCATCATCACATTTTTCTACAAAATTCACTCCTTTTTATACAATTTAGAACAACTATAAAAGTACTTAAAATTCATATACAGGGACATTTTTTTATTAGTATACATAACTCTTTAGTCTAGGCATAGGCAACCAATATTACAAAGGCTTTAATATCGATAAATAAAAGACAAACTTTTAAAAACAATAAAGTAAATGTAATTAAATATTAATTAAAAAAATTAAAGTTTATCAAAACAAAAAAAAATATTAAATAATTAAAGCAAGTGTTCAAAATGCTTTCCTTGCAGTTTTAAACAATAATCCAAGCGATTTTGAAAACCCCGCACTGCATTCCTGATAAATTCAGAATCTATATTATTACATTCTGTACGAATACGTTCTTTCAGCTCTTCTACATTTTGCATTGGAACATTAGTATAAATATTTGTTTTTAAATATCCTCAAAAAAATTCGTTAAGTGCCAAGTCTAGCGATTGTGGGGGCCATGCGAGAGGACCATATCTCCCGATCTACTTTGGTGTACATAGTATTACAAATAGTATTGACTTTTTAAAGCTGCGCTTTAAGTTTCAAGACTGACTCTTGACAAACTTGACACAAAATTTTAGTTTTGAGCTTGAAATGTTGGTTGCCAACCCTATGAAATTGATCCGGTTTTTTAAATTTATACATAGGGCTATGTATATTAATAAAAAAATGTCTCTGTATGTAGTTCAGTCAATGAACAGAGTTTTTGATTTGGACTAGTCAAAAGGTACATACATATATTAGTCCCCGGTTCCCTGTGACAAACGACTCGAAGGGGGATCCAAGAAGTTACCGTTTTGTGATTGGTCGCTCATATCTCGAAAATGTGTTTCGAAAAAAAAGATTAGTAGATACGAGTATGTATGAAATTAATGTTTATAAAATTTTCTACAAGACGGTCTTTTCAATCTTTTTGCATGCATTAAATTTTTGAATGATTCCAAAAATCTATAGGGATTAGTTTTTGACATTATTATAATGGCCGACCTTAAACTGTCCAATCACAATGCTCACAACTTTTACAACAATAATTACGTAATTCATAGTATGATATTTGCCAACGAATGTCTCGAAAACTATATTAACTATTTGAGATATAAAAAAAAAACAGAGACCATCATCTTGTAGAAAGTTTTAATTTTGTACAAAACCATTTTTTTCGTAACACGCACCGTTTCGGGAAAGCATAAAATAACACTTCTTGGTGCTCGCCTGAGCCCTACTCTGCTCGTAGAGCCGAGGACTTTTAGAATCTTTACCTCCTAAGCCTAACAAATATGTAATAATTTACACAAATACAGCCCTAAATGTTTAAAGTAAAAAATTCTGTTCTTGTTAACTGAGCTAATATTCAAGAAGAATAAATAATTACGAAAAAAAAATCTTGTATTTACAACTATTCAGAATGATTTTTCTATCCGAAATTTGTTTGCTTTCTAATGCCCCATTTTGTTCCTTTTTGATTAGTGTGAAATCAAGCTTAGGTGTGTTTGCCGTTCGGATGTAATTGCTTTTATTCGTTCGTTGAGTGAGTTGAAATTCAATAATAATTCCTTTTAGTACACTCATAAATCTTCGTTGCTTCGTCTTCTTATCCCTTGATACTTAATCTATAACGGTTGTTTATCTCTAATATCAGGTTTGGACATTTTGATATATTGCCCAAATAACAATTTTATTTTTATTATTGTAACAATTATTCCTAAATTGTTTTTTTTTCAGACACTCAGGGTCACGGGAAATCATTACAACTAACTACTAAACTTGAAATCGACAATAACAAATTTAGTAAAAAAAACACTTTAGGACGGAGAGAGAGATTAAATGGCTATTGTATAAAAAAACAAAGCTATACCTATTGCATAAATTACAAGTTCTTGTTATTTACATGTAATAAAATAATGACGAAATTTTTATCATCAAATGAGTTGAAACAGCTTTGTTGGCAACAAGATGCCAATTGCTGATTAGTCGTTAAAGGCAAAAATATTTTTTCTATCTTAGTGTTACAAAGAGCTGAAAACAAAGCTACAACTTGGCAACTTTTAATGCAATATTTTTACCATCACTGACAGCATACTGCCATATTTAAGTGAGCAGTTGTTGTAGATCAACGTATTTCATCCAAATACGTTACTGATTTCAAATTTCTGATTTCACTATACGTTGTAATCTGCTGTGATATGAACCTCAAAAATTACATGTCGTTGTGTAAAAATTCCAATAAGCTACATTATAATTTTTTTAAATATATTTATTGATTTTTTGTTTCATCAAAAAACAATTTAGTTTCATATAAATTGACTATAACTTATCAAATATTTGTAAATAGTTAATATTATGCTTTAATTATAATATAACACCTGCTAATTCCTCATTATTGTAAACATTCCATTTTTAATAAAGTTTGAATCGATTGCGCTTGACTACTTCCAGTGCGATAACAAGTATGCGAACTTTTATTATTACAAACTAAGTGTAATTAACTTTTCTTTAAAACTTAATTATCAAAAAAAAGCAATTACATTTGCATATTTAATATGCAAACAGAGTAAAAAGCTTACATGTGGTTGTCCTGCCGTATCAAGGATATCAAAATAAACCATTTCGTTGTCAATCACAGTGTGAAAAGCGTAAACTTTTTCCAGAGTTGGATCGTACTCTCCTATGTATCTTTTAGTAATAAATCGCACAACCATCGCTAGAACGGAAGAGTGGTAAACAAATCCAAAAATAACTTTGTTCTAGCAATTACCTGATTTTCCGACACCGCTTTGTCCTAAAACCATGACTTTCAAAGTTTTAGGTCGAGGGTAAAGGCCGAGTTTGGCCAGTGATGATTTCGGAGATGTCGCGTTCATTTTTCCATCACATCTGAAACGATAAAGTTTTCTTCATCAACGCCATAAAGAAAAATCGGAAATTCTAATCAAACTTTTGGATAAGTTTGCTAAGAAATGTGACGCATCAATATTGTAAAAAAAATAATTGAGATGGGACTCGAGTTCGAATTTACGAGTTTAAGGGAATGAATAATACATTGTGTATTTATCAACAAAGTTAGTTTTAAATGCACTTGAGCTTCCTTTTAGAAGTTACTAAGTCACGATGTATTTTATTTTATTTATTGGCCCTTTAAAATTCCTCCGTTCGCTTCAAGGTGGGCTGCTTTAACGAGCCTTCAATCCAAAACAATTCCGAACATAAAAGTGCGAATTGTTGGTGATTCATGAAAATGAAGCTTACTCAAAATTTTATGCACTTGCTTCAAAAATAGATTTTAAAATAAATGGAGAAGCGAAACTTTAGGCTCATCACAAAGTTGGACCGTGAATGTGACAGCTACGAGACGAGCTTTTGAGTTAAAGCTTATCACGATAGACGAAATGTTAATTAATTATTATCAAAAGGAAAAGCTTTCTTTTTTGAAACAAAAATTTTAGTAATTTATGGCGTAGTTTAATTATGAGGAGGGTATTGTTTGTAGTTCAAAGGACATGCAAAACTGGTTAAACCTTGATTAAAACGTAAGCTTTAATATCAATTAAAGAGAATTTCGTGTAACAGTCCTGACATTGTTTTGCTCTGCTCGTATCAATGGAAGGCTGAAAAATAAAATTCCAAATATGAAAGCAATTTATCGGTCGAAATCGGACACTACTTGGCATTGATGTACATTTAATTAAAAGTCCCCCTTTGACACCGATTGTTTACCACTTCGCGGTAAAATTTCAACTTTGATCGACTTAGAGAAATTCAAAAGTGTTTACTTGCAGGAAATCATAATAAAGCAACATCAATCACACGTGTCACGTCAATAATAAGCGGGAAAACACGCACCTGTGAAGGTCTATTTAAGCAAAAAAACACCACTTCCTAGCACGTGGCCGAAATTTGTGACATTTGCGACGTCTCAAAGCTCGGAGCGCTTTTATCAAACTGTTCAAATGTAGGTTAGCAGAATTGAAAGCGAATAAAAGCACGCGCTTGCGTTTCCTCGCTATTTATACCGAAATTTATAAGTGCTTTTACACTTATTCTCTTTGAAATAATTACGATGTTTATGGGAACTTTGGAAAAAGTAGTCGACAAAGTGAGGACGTGAGGGGATTCATGGGTGCTGAATTACCAATGGGTTTAATTCTGTTTATCTTTCATAGATGTAAGCTAGGTTTTCGTTGGGATCAACAGGAAAAGCTTCAAAATCGGTTCGATGCAAGAAGAAGAATAAATCACAGTCTAGTAAATCAATTCAAATCACGCTGTGCAGTTAATTAGTTATTAAAGTTTTATTATGTACTTTGATGTTGCTAATTAATTTTTAATTTTTATTAAAAAATTGTCGCTTACACAGTGTGTGTTTCGTGTTTTGAAGAGCTTTTGTTACTTAAGTTTCAAAGTAAATATACCCGAAATCAAATATTTAGCTCTAGAGAGATCAAAGCTTTTTGTGGTAGGTGCTTATTTGCTTAGTCAATAGTCAATAGATGAGTTAAACAAGGTTGGAGGCGTTTAAAATTGTTGACTTTCGAACCTAAACTAAATTTTTTCGCAAGTCTTTTATCAAATGTTTTGTCCTTAAACTTAGAATGAAATCCTGATCAGAATAATTTTATCAGGAAATTATTATTTTTATTAAAAATAAAAAATCATATCTACAATAGCCTTCAAGCAACGTTACATAATTTTGTTTGTCTGTTTAAATGGCTATTTTTGAATAATAAAAAAATTATCTAAAATTTTGAGATATGATTTTCAAAGTTCAAGGAGTGGAAATCAAATGTTTTAACAGCATTAGAAAAGTAAAAAGATAATAACATAAAAAAATGAACCAAAAAATGGAAAAATAGCCAACATTTTAGTATAAAAGTAATATGATTAAAATTGAATTACTGTTATAAAAAAATTTGATATTATTTATTATTTATGTACCTAATTGTAGTGAGTCATATGATGGGTTAGGATGTAAATAGCTATTTACGGTATTAGACCGGTAGCAACATTTTTACGAATCCGGTAGATAGGCTATCCTCCTATCGGACTAGGCCGGTAAATTTTATCTACCGAACTCGTTTGTAACTATGTAAACGCTAGTTACCAATTCTGTAACCTAAAAAATATTTTCTTAAAGTTAGTTTAAACACATTTTCTAAAATAGAATAATTTTTGTAGTGGTAATAAACAATTTTTCAATAATCTGTTTTTGATTTTTTACGACCAAATTAAGTCTCCTTATTACTTTTTTACATTTGGACTGCTAAAATATGTGCGGATGGCCGAAAGCTTGCTCCTTCTCAACATAATTCTCTAAAAATTGACTCTTAATTAATTTGCATAATTAATGGATTATGGCAATAACCAAGTCTGAAACTATTAAGCTCTTCCAGATATTTACTCTCATTATGCAAATTTAAATAAGGGGGTCATCATAATTAATAACGCCATGTTTGTAAACTACTAGAAAATCGATACAAAAGAAAGATGAATTATGACGCTTTGTCTGCAAGATTTACATTAGTTGTTAGAGGTAATAAAAGTTTAAAGCCCTGTCTCGGCATAAAAATTAAAAAGGAACAGCAGAAGTAAAGAGACGAGTTCCTGCTGGTTCGCCGTAAAAAAATACAATTGTTTGCAATTTTAATCAAGGATGTTATTTATTGTCTTGTGATTATTTTGGGATGAGTCAAAGATAAATCGTGGCGTTAACAACCGGATATCGCATAATTGATTCCGATAATGAAGTTATTTGTAAAACGATTTGTTATATAATTAAAAAGATCCATAAATCATTAATTTAATCTTGCACCTATTTAATCACGCTTTTAAGGTCGAAACATGAACACTGCGTGAAACAAGACTTTGGAACTAATCACCTTAACTTTAACTCAATTTTAAGAATATTTCTAAAATTAGAATGTTTACTAATTCCACGGATTGACCCTCCCACTCTTATCCTATTATTTTGATATAAAAATGTTTTTTACTCAATATAACTTATCTCGTTGTGAAATTTACTTCGTTTACCTCTGGATTTACTCAAATCTTATATTTATGTTCTTAGGTCACTCCGCCAAAACAGATTATATTTTTTTAAATTTATTTCTAGAATTGTTATCAAGTAGGTACGACATTTCATCTAAGCGTGAAAGCGTGATTTTTCTTGAAATTTTTCTTCAACTTCTGGGTCAATGCAGCAGTGACGCGATTAAGTAAGAGATAAAACATTAGAAATAATATTTATCGATCGGAAAATAACAAAATTGTCGGATGCAACGAAGATTAAAATATAAATTCTAACAAAAACTTAATCGCTTCATTCAGAAATAATTATTGCAACTTGACAAAACATTTTTGAAAATTTTGCAAATCAATCATTATCATTTGTTAATTTGTCAATTTTTAAACAACAATTTTATTTCAATTATTTTTAGAAAAAAAAACATTTTTAGAATGCCTTTATCCCACTGTCTCGTCTTCTGGCAATAATAATAGAATCTCTGATGCGGGAGACACGTAATCTGCAAATTTTGATAATAAATGACCAATCACTATTATCAAAGTATGGCGTAAAGGGGAGTTGGTGTGACCTAAAATATAGTAAATATTTTACTCAAAAAATCATTCGACAAAATATTTATTCCTTTATCAGTTCTAAGCGTAATGATTTTATCACAACTTCTGTCCGATTTTGCAAAGAGTGATTAGTTGATTTCGATCGTGCCTGATGATTTGCAGGTATAAGCCGAAACCAGTGTCAATTTAGGCGTCGCGAAAGGTTAAATAAATAAGTTATTTCATATATCTTGCCGATAAACTTGTTATATCTGAATTTTTTTAATCATTCATTTACAATATGCTATAATTTGTATCATCCCAGACTGGGTTATTTATAAATTTGTGATTGCAGAAACGGCCACAAATCATCCCTAATTTCGAAAGTAGTAGCATGCAAAAAGTGGCTATGTTCTTGTCAGTGATGGTCAGTGCGTTATCCGCGAAGGTAGTGTCAGTTGAACTTTGATCAAATCACTGGTAAGCGATAAATTTTCAGTTTTTTATTTCGCGCTCTAAAAATATTTTAATTAACTGTAGTTAATTCAGTCAAGGTTTTTGCAATAAAGAAAATTAAATCTTGACACTCGCATTTATCTAAATCACTCCTACTATCCAATTTTAACTCGTGGGTCCAATTGTTAGTCAGACAATACCGACCCTAGATTAATAATTTTAACTTCAAGGGTACTTTTTGTAAGAAATGTAGACTCCATGGTAACATGAAACGAAATTTAACACCAATAGGGTATAAATTGATTTTGGTTCTATTCAAATTTTATTTTATTCTTCCAGGTGACTTACAATGAACGTGCCAAAAGTCGGGCTTAAAATCTTCTTCATATTGATCCTCGTCGACCAAATCTACTCAAACATCGACCGAAAAGAATTTTTCTGTGGAAAAAAATTAGTGAAAACTCTCACCGAACTTTGTGCTATTTACAATTACCCGACTTTGCGTAAGTACCAATTTATCGAAACCTCCCTTTTGTGATGTTTTTATTCAGCTAGGAGACGTTTTCGCCGGCAAATAGTAGACGAATGTTGCCGGTCACAATGCTCTCGCCGGTATTTAGTCCAGTATTATTGCATGGAAGCTCACAGGTTAGTCAAGCTCTCGTTAACGTTTTGTATTCAGTTAAAAAATTTCAGCTCGATTGCGCATCTTCTTAAAGCAAAACCCGAACCGGAGAAACTGCCGGAAAAGCCTATTGAAGTGCCTAAAGAAATCCCTGTAGGTACCACCCCCCCCCACATTTCATCAAATCATGGGAATTGCAAATGCAGGAAAAGACGGGCAAAGGTGCTTTGCTTTATCATTCATTGATCATCTCGTGCTACTGTGTATTTGCGAATGTGTAATGAGTGATTTTGTATTTTTTAGAGAATAAATAAATCGAAGAGGATGCAAGGACAGCGGAATTTCATTCATAATCCGGTGCCTCCGGCTAATATTGGGCACGTCGAACGTTCGCAAACGCCGTTCTATATTTGGAAATTCTCAAGAGTTTATTGAAAACATCGACTTATTTAAATCCATTTCATTTCATCTATTTATTTCTTGTCTCTGTGATTTTTCTCGTACAAAACATTGTATTATTTACGAGCTGAGTATTTTTATGACTTCTCAAAGAGCAATTAGTAGACTTTAATTATTTATAATTATTAATAAGGACAAAGGGTTTGCGTGCTACTGCTACTAATTATCTTCGAGGGACATTAATGTGACATACTTTTTACTTCAATATTTTTTTACTTGTGATCGACTTGTTTGTGTTTTGATGCATGGTCGTAATTTTAATAAATATCAAAACCAACATTTTTGTTTTATTTTTGAAGCCAAAGTTCTTTATTTGATACATTGCTTGATTTTCCGACAAGAAATACAAAAAGAGAGAACAATAAGAGTTATGAAAATAAAATATGTATTGATTTCTTATAAAAAGTTAAAAGTACCTATATAAAAACGGTTCTATAAAAGTATTATGAGCTTTCTATACCTAACAAAATTTATCAAAAAAGCTTTTTTCAATATTTTATGTATTAGATGTTATAGTGTACTTTGCGTCTTCATTTACCTATAAAAAATCGAAATAATGTTTCCTATATTTTTTAATTTTTTAAATTATAACATCAAATTTATATAATTTTGAATTAGAAATCTGTTCAGACTTTACTTGTTTAGAAGTTTAGAAGAACTCTTGATTTATTAACTTTAGATTTCTCGCACACAATTTGCAGCTTATTTTACTACCTACAAACAGATGTCGCTATTGCCTTTATTTAAAATTGATGAAACAAACTCATGTAAACAATCGAAATAAAAAGCACCAATCCAGAAATCATTGATTTTCGATTTATGTAGTTTAATATTCTAGAACGTAATTGAAAGATTACGATTAAATATTTAACTGGAAATTCTTCAACATTTGATCCAAATAAAAAATTAATATTTACATCTTATCTTTCTACATTTTTAATAAGTTAGCTACGATACTGCACATATTAAAAAAATGAGTAACAAGTAAATATAACACACTAAAACATTCTTAGGTGTAATTCGGCATTTTTAATTTTTCTTTCTTTTAAACTATATATTTCATTTTTTAAATTATTCCTAGCGTTTTACTTACTTATTTATACTTCTGTCTTACGACATTTTCTATAATTAGATTTTGTTTTGTTATAATAATTATTGATACACATTATTTTGGTTTTTACTTTTGCAATAAATAATTTGTTATTGTCAATGATGGCAAATGTTTATGTGTTTAAGGAAAAAGTAAAACAATTACTACTGGGAAATACAATATATAATTTTCAAGAATTTTTCCATAATTTGTAGATTTTAAGTACTACTTCAATTGTCATTTTAATGTATCTGTTGACGTGGTCTCTACACACGGTTCTTTTACTATGTGTAGTTACCTGAAATATATTATTATTATTATTATAATATTTGCTTTCATAGTTCATTTTTGATTAGAATTATCAAACGAATTTGATTTTTAACAGTTAGTGTTATTTAACAAGTACATAGTAATTTCTATTATAAATAGAGTGATGTTACTGCATAATTAACTTCTATTGTCTATAAAAATTTGAAACGTCTTTTAGAAGAATGACATTTTTAGATTTTTGGTCTATTTTCTTATAAAAACCATTGTTTGTGTAATTTTATTTGTATTCTCAGATTATTTTTGCAAATGGTACATTTAATCTTTCTATTCGATTTAAATTTGAAGCGGAAAGATTTTCACATTTGTGTCTACTAACGCGACTTATTTTCCAGTTTAGCATTAAACGTAGGTTTTATGAATAAAACCCATTTACAGTCGTCATAAATTGCCCTTAACACAAACACAATCAGATTACAAGAAAAATTCGTGTAAATTAAACCCCAATGCTACAAATATTTTTTCGGTATTGATTTTTCACTAAACACCTCCATTCATACACTATTGTATTTCTTGTGCGTGATGTTAAAAATGGAAAGGCCTTCTAATTTATTGAACTTCCGTAAAAAAGCAAATTTCATTAATTGCAGTAATTAAAAGAATGTGAAAAGTGTCTAATTGGTTGATGTTGCAAATCCGCTTATCTCGTTTCTCAATCAGACATTAATTTAATAAGTTTTTTTCCCAAACTGATGTATTCAAAAATAATCGAAATATCGATTGAAATCGTCCCTTCGACCTCCATGAGTGGGTGTTTGCCCATCTCCAATGGGGCATCTGCGCTCTTCGACGAAGGCAGCGGGGTAAATTCCACCCAATAAGGACCTCGTCCTCGTTGACGTCATGGAGGATCAATACCTGGTGTGGACCAGGACAGTCCTAGCCGTGAGCGCGAGAAATTTGTATGTCTTTAAAACGTCGGTGGTGCTGTGGCTTTATGAAGTTAGAAAGCGCCCATGTGCGGGCTAGCGTTTAGAACACGAAACAGTCCCTCGCAAAAAACTTCGCTTCGTTGGGGTGACTGTTGCGGCCATAAGACCCATAAGTGAGAGTTTTCTTGCCTAAGTGCTTCGAGTAAGGTAAAAAGTACCACTAAGACACGATGATTAACGTGGCGGGAGTCATCTCCATTATCATTTTTTACGTATTAATCCTGGGAGTGGGCATATGGGCGGGTCGTAAAAAGGAAGCCGGGAATGATTCCGAAGAGGAAGTTATGCTGGCTGGGCGGAATATCGGCCTTTTCGTAGGCATTTTTACAATGACAGGTACCACAATCCAAAATCCATGAGACATCATTTGTAGCTTCGCAATTTTTTAGCTACTTGGGTTGGGGGTGGTTACATCAATGGCACAGCTGAGATCATATACACTACAGGGTTGGTCTGGTGCCAAGCACCTTTCGGTTACTCCCTCAGTCTAGTCTTTGGGGGCATTTTCTTTGCAAATAAGATGCGAAAACAGGGTTATATAACAATGTTAGATCCTCTACAAGACTCATTCGGAGAACGCATGGGGGGACTCTTGTTTCTTCCAGCTTTATGTGGGGAAGTTTTTTGGGCTGCTGGTATTTTAGCCGCGCTCGGGGCCACATTAAGTGTCATCATTGATATGGATCACAGAACCAGCGTAATATTCAGTGCTTGCGTTGCTGTTTTCTACACACTCTTCGGAGGATTATATTCTGTTGCTTACACAGACGTCATCCAATTATTTTGCATTTTTATCGGACTTTGGATGTGTATTCCGTTTGCTTGGACCAACGAACACGTAACCTCGTTAGAATCAATCGATGTTGATTGGATCGGTGTTGTTAAAAAAGAAGAATATTTCATTTATTTAGACTACGGTTTATTATTAATTTTCGGCGGAATCCCTTGGCAAGTGTACTTCCAGAGAGTACTTTCGAGCAAATCAGCAGGCCGGGCACAACTCTTATCATACGTTGCAGCTTTTGGTTGTATTCTAATGGCCATACCACCGGTACTAATCGGCGCAATCGCTAAAGCCACCGGTACCACCCTCAGAAATCTTAAACTCGGTCTAATACCTTTATTTCAGCCTGGAATGAAACAGGATATAAAGGTCCGTATCCTTTGACCGAAGCCGAAAGCAGTATGATTCTCCCAATGGTGCTACAATACTTGACACCCGATTTTGTTTCATTTTTCGGCCTTGGCGCTGTTTCAGCTGCTGTAATGTCTTCAGCAGACTCGAGCGTACTTTCCGCAAGTTCCATGTTTGCACGAAACGTTTACAAGTTAATCTTCCGACAAAAAGCATCCGAAATGGAAATTATCTGGGTGATGAGAGTCTCGATTCTTATCGTGGGAGTACTCGCTACAATCATGGCTCTAACCATACCTTCCATTTACGGTTTATGGTAGTGTATTCCCATCCAAATCCTTTCCCAAATTTAAAATAAATCTGTTCCAGGTCCATGTGTTCGGATTTAGTCTATGTCATTCTGTTCCCCCAACTATTGATGGTGGTCCATTTCAAAAACTACTGCAACACTTATGGCAGCCTTGCTGCTTACCTCATTGCATTTTTTGTCCGTTTGAGTGGCGGTGAATCTCAGATGGGTCTGGATGCGCTTGTACATTTTCCAGGATGGGATGAGGAAAATCAGAGACAACTGTTCCCTTTCAGAACTTTAGCGATGCTATTGTCTTTAGTGACTTTAATTGGGGTTTCATGGTGGACAAAATGGGTGTTTGAGACAGGGAGATTGGCTCCAGGGTACGACTTTTTCCGCTGTGTTGTCAACATTCCTGAAGATGTAGAAAGAGTGGGAGAGCCTGCAGAAGAAGGGGAACAAATGTCGGTTATGGCTTCTGGTGCTATGGGAAAATTATATGGGGCTGCTACTCTTGTGGGTAAAGATGAAAGGAATGGAAGGATTAATCCCGCCTTGGAACCTGATGATGATGTTTTGCCGGCCGAAGTTGAAAAATTGAGGGGGTCAGTTAGTAGTGGAGGAGGAATCAGGTCAGGGACTAATCCAGATGTCCAAACCACGCTTTGAAGAAATTAATCATTTGTCTTCTGTTTTTTTTTTTTTACTAGAAGATCAGTAGGTGCTACTTAGATGTTTTTATTGCCGCTGGACGGTTCTGTTGATTCATTCCGAGAGTTTAAATTTTCTTTAGTCTTCAACGAAATGTATTCAAGTCGTAACATCGAATTGTTAAGAAATGGAACGTATGCATATCAGAATTGAGTCCTACACGTAACAATACATATCATTGTTGCTCCTTAAGTAACTTTAGAACTGTAAATAATTTAGGATAAAACAGTATTTATTGAATTTGTTGAAAGTTTTCATATTATCTTGCAAAGAAAAAAATTATTTGTATTTTGCATAAATGTATATTCTAATTGTGATTTTTTTTTAAACTCTAGTCGGTGTGTTAAATGTGATTGAACAATAATTAGCAACTCATTTAAAGTGTTTAATTTTTAAAAAACACAGAGACTAAAGACTTGCCACTCAAAAATATCATCTCCGATAATGTATTATAATACAATAAAATCAATTCCATTATTGCTTTTTTCTATTGTTTTCGTTTAATTCGTGGTAAATGTTATATTTCACATGATGTAATAATGTACATTGAGAGCGTAGCGAACTGTTATGACCACCCGTTGTTGCTGTAATATATAGAAATATAGGAAAAAACTATATTTGGTATGTTGTGTATATTCAATAAATAGACTGTTAAAAAAGTAAAAATAACAGCCTTTGTCGTAAAGTCAGAATGTTCAATGTATATATAAAAACTAGTCTAGAAATTATAGAAAGTTGTTGTAAAATAAAATTCAGAAACTAAATAAAAAAGCATTTTATTTATACAAAATCTGGTTAGTACTAATACTGCACATTCCTTAATAAATTAAAAATCTATGTACAATCGGTCCTGAATCTTTAATATGAATATCCTCCATTGCTTGCGTACTGTTGACCACCGGCGGAAGGCGCTCCGTAGCTTTGGGAAGGAGCAGGAGCGCCGTAGCTTTGAGAAGGTTGACTCCTACCACCTCCAAAACCTTGTCCTTGTCCTCCAAAACCGCCATGACCGCCACCAGATCCGCCGTGACCACGTCCAATACCACCAGAAGGCGCTCCGTAACTTTGACTAGGGGCAGAGTAAGATTGTTGGGGAGCTCCGTAACTTTGAGAAGGCGCATGCCCTTGAGACGGGGCACCGTAACTCTGAGAAGGAGCTTGGCTGAATGAACGACTTGGAGTTCCGTAGCTTTGAGAAGGAGCATGTCCTTGAGATGGAGCACCGTAACTCTGAGAAGGAGCACCTCCGAACGATCCAGAGCTTTTGGAAGAGGAGCTTACTGGAGTGCCATAACTGGTTGATGGTGGCAAATAGTTAGTTTGAGGTTGAGACCTACTAGGAGCACCGTAACTTTGAGAAGGAGCTCCTGAGCCAAAACCGCCACTGAAAGATCCTGATTTACCGAAAGAGGAAGAGCCGCCAAAACTTCCAGATGGAGCACCGTAACTTTGGGAAGGAGCTCCTCCAAAACTGCTAGATTTACCGAAAGAAGATGAACCTCCAAAACCTCCCGAAGGAGCACCATAGCTCTGAGAAGGAGCACCTCCAAATCCGCCAGATTTTCCTCCAAAACCTCCCGAAGGAGCACCATAGCTCTGAGATGGAGCACCACCAAAACCGCCAGATTTTCCGCCAAAACCTCCCGAAGGAGCACCGTAGCTTTGGGAAGGAGCACCACTAAATCCTCCTGATTTACCAAAAGAGGATGAACCTCCAAAACTTCTCGAAGGAGCACCATAACTTTGGGAAGGAGCACCACCAAATCCTCCTGATTTAGCAAAAGAGGATGAGCTTCCAAAACCTCCTGAAGGAGCACCATAGCTTTGGGAAGGTGCACCTCCTGATGATTTACCAAAAGACGAAGAACCTCCAAAGCCCCCAGTTGGGGCGCCGTAGCTTTGAGAGGGAGCCCCTCCAAATCCGCCCGATTTACCGAACGAGGAAGAGCTTCCAAAGCCACCCGAAGGGGCACCGTAGCTTTGAGAGGGAGCACCACCAAAACCTCCCGATCCTCCAAAACCTCCTGAAGGAGCTCCGTAGCTTCCCGAGGGTTGAGACGCACCTCCTGGGGGCAAGTAACTATTGGCCGGGCCGCCAGAAGGATATCCTCCAGATAGAGGCGCTAAAATGTCTATTAAGAGGCAATATTAAATTGTAGAAATTCGTACCGTCACGCTTAGCGAGCTGTCCCCCGAGAGATCCGTTGAGTAAACAACATAGTGCAAGTGTACAGCTCTGAAATAAAATTATTATTACAAAATTGTTTTAAAAAATCCAATATTTGTAGCACTGCTTAAGCACTTCGCGCTTACCACTAATTTAAATGAACTCATATTTGCGCACTTGCACTCACTATATTAAAACGGTCGAAAGAATGTCTTGTGTGAAGTTGATGGTTGATGAAGATGTTTGCAGGTATTTATAGATCCCCACAACTGCGGCGGGTGAAAGTGTATTCACATCTTGGTTGATATGTGTGGGAGATGTTCCAAAAGAAGTCCTTGCACTGTCTCGTCTAAAAACTGGAGGGATGATTATTACGACCTTGATAAAAAGACCTACACAATTCTTATGTAAACACTTTATTGCAATTGATTGAATGTAAAAAATACGTGGAGTACAAATTTTTAGGCCAGTTGGCCAATTTATGCCTTTAGTACGCACTTATCTATTAGATAAGAAAAGTTTTACGACATTTTATTTCAATTGTAATTACATGTACGGAATGCAAATCGTGCTTGGGTTATTGTACAGTCATGACTCTTCGCTTCAACAAGCTCGCTCTATTAATTTTGCAAAATAAATTAATATATGATTTATTTTTGTTTCGCAATGGCGTGACGTCATTTCAAAAAAATTTTTGACTTTGAAAATTCAATGAGTGTTTGAAAGTAAATAAACTTTTGTGACCTTAACCCGATTATTAAATTTTAACGTAATTATTGATCCGCTAAACAATAATCTTAATAAGCGTTTAGTGTGTGCAATGTTTGTTTTCGTATCGCAAAACTTAACACTTTTGAAATATTTAATGCGGATGTATAAACTTGTATTGAAGTCTCATTAAATTTTTCATTGGTGAAAACCGTGAGGAACAATTTGCTTAATTTACTTTCCAGTGAGTTTAGAAGATTAATTAAAAATCGTTTTGCATAATTAGTCGAAAAAAAATATTTCGAAGATTCTCATCGAGTTGCTTTATTATTTTTTTGGTAGCACGAAATGGAAATTAAATTACAGTATGTACGTTACTATTAAGTAATGCAATAAATAAAACGTTTCGTCACAGAAAAGCGAATCTTCCTTTTCCTTTTGAGACAACAACAATTACCATGTTAGCAAAAACGTGATTTCAAAATTTGAAAATCACGAAATGCGACGATTGATTTCTCACTCAAGAGTCATTTATTCTTGGATCAGTGCTTATCTAATAATAGAAAATTATTTAACAATAATTTATAATTATAAGTATAAAAATCTAGCAAAAATTTCATTTTTCTTGATTAAAATCTGACACGACTTGGTCGAATGAGTATAAACGTACCCAGTTTAACAAAAATAATTCAAGACTAAACCGGTATTTATTTTTGAGTAATGATAAGGTACACAATAGATAAAATAATAAGAAATTTCAAATTTGAAGCATGGATTTTTTTTAATCCACAAATAGGTCCACCTTATCAATTAAAAAATTGATGAGTTTTGCAATGAGCAATTTAACCGTTTTGAAAGTTCCATTAATTGTTATTACCAAAATTGGTGGTTATTCTTAAACACAATCGACTTTCGCAACAAAATATCAAAGCACAATTTTTTATGTATTAATAATATCACTAAGTAGACCTTGGTTTGGTAAAATCAAAATACGAAAGTAAGTGTCTTTATACATATGGTTGAAAAAAATCACGCACGACTGACTTAAGTAGAGGTATTCATGCTCATCAACAAATCAAGGTAATTCTTCCTCTTAGAGCAATAATTAATTATTTTAACAAGGTGAATAAGTATCCATTAAAATATTTACGGTTATTATTACATTAATAAAATTTCAAATGCTCAAATGTGAACAAATCATTAATTACTGTAATGAATCTAACTCGAATTGATAATGTAGTAAATGTATTTTATTAGTGGAAGTTTTTTATGGTTTACAGGTATCTAATTTTTTCCACTATATTATGTAGTGTCATTTTTAATCTCAAAAGATACAATCATAAATCCAAAAATTACTTGGAATATATTGTTTGCAAATTAATCACGGACTTAACACACCCACATTGAATGATAGAATGATCAAGCGTAAAATTTGATTAAAAAGCTAATAAAAAAATCTTTTTCTAAAAGAATTATGGATCATTTTTATATTTAAAGAAAAATTCTATTTTTCTTAATCTTTTCAACTTGTAATTTTATTCAAAATAAACATGCTATTTAAAAGTACTATCAAAAAGATGCAGTACAATAGATTATAAAAATATTATTTTTCTAACATTAAAACAAAAAATCACTTTTGGTTTCTTCACACCATTATAGACCCCTGTAATAATATTTACGTTAATTGTAAATGTAATGGCTTAAATGTTTTTATTTGAAGTTGTCTTTGGTGCTAGAGAAAAACAGTTTTTTGTTTCTTCTTCTGGACGCTTTTTTCAGGCAAAAAGCTAAAATATACAAAATATGTAAAAATTGTTGTTGTTTTTAATAAGAATAAGTATCTACACATTTGAGTGCAAAAAAAATGCAAATTGATTTTTTTTTATAATGTAATTTGGCCTGTTAATAAATGACAGCTTTTTAATGTTGTTTTTTTCACAATTTACAATGTCATAATTATCAGGCATTTTCCAAACTGCTATCAAGTTTTTCCATTTCGTTTTTAACACTGACTATGACACTGCACTGGCAAAACCACCAAATCCGACATTTCTTTTGATAGTTTTCTAACCTTTTTGGATATAACTTTTTTCACACTATGTAAATCTCTGAAAAATTAGACAATATTGTTTTTGACAATTTGCGTTTTTTTTCCATTTAAGTGAAGTGCATTTCATTTTGGCTAGAATGTGTCCCTTTACAAAAACAATGACTACAAAGTCATTAATATTTTTTAACAACAACTAACAACCTTAAAATACATTTTAATACACATTTCAATAAAAGTATTCCGTTTTAGTAAACTAGAAAAACACAAATATCTCATTCGTTAATAATTTAAATTTGTCTCTTTTCAACGTTACAAATTATTAACTCTGTTACAAAGATTAGTCACGCGTTTTATCACAAAATCTTTGTTATTTTCGCAAACAAACTGTTACAATTGATCTAAAAATAATCATAATTTGATATAAGTACCTACTCTCAAATAGTATAAAATAATTGGCATGGAATACCACAATCAGACTTGAATCCGACACTTCACAATGTATTTCAAGCAAATCCTCGTCCTGTGTTTCATAAATTTGGCTTTGTGCCAAAAGGATCCACATTTTGCCGATAACAGAAATACGATAGTGCATTTATTCGAATGGAAATGGTCAGACATCGCTGATGAGTGCGAACGATTCCTAGCACCGAAAGGTTTCGGAGGAGTTCAAGTAATTTCTTTCGTTTTAATTTGAAATGGTTTGATTTGTATTATTTAAGATTTCACCACCTAATGAAAATTTGGTTGCAACAAACAGACCATGGTGGGAAAGGTACCAACCGGTGAGTTATATCCTCAACACACGATCAGGAGACGAAGCGGCTTTAGCCGATATGATCAGCAGATGTAATGCTGTTGGAGTTAGGTATTGTTGGACAAACTAAGGAAAATTTATTTCTTTTTTGCGCAGGATTTTTGTAGATGCTGTAATTAATCACATGACTGGAATGGGTGGTACTGGGACCGCAGGGTCACAAGCCGACCGTGATGGTAAAAATTATCCGTCAGTACCCTATGGGTCTGGAGATTTTCACGACTCTTGTTCAGTTAATAATTATCAAGATGCTAGTAATGTCCGAAATTGTGAGCTAGTTGGTCTTGCTGATTTAAATCAAGTAATGTCTTATAACAATAATAATTTGTGTTAATTGGAAGTTTTAAGGGTTCTGATTACGTCCGAAGCAAAATTGTCGAATACATGAACCATTTAGTCGATTTAGGAGTAGCAGGATTCCGGGTAGATGCAGCAAAACACATGTGGCCGGAAGATTTGGCTGCAATTTACTCCGCATTGAAAAATTTAAACACCGCCCATGGTTTTGGCGATGGTGGAAAACCGTTTATTTTCCAAGAAGTGATAGATTTGGGTAACAAAATCATCTTAGAGAGGACAACTTTTACAAAATTTTGAAACTCTACAGGTGGTGAAGCAATCAGCAAACACGAATATACCGGCTTTGGTACTGTTATAGAATTCCAGTATGGTGTAAGTCTTGGTAACGCTTTCCAAGGAGGCAACCAATTAGCCAACTTAGCAAATTGGGGCCCCGAATGGAACCTCCTTGATGGTCTCGACGCCGTTGCCTTCATCGACAACCACGACAACCAAAGAACAGGAGGCTCCCAAATCCTCACTTACAAAAACCCTAAACCATACAAAATGGCCATTGCTTTTATGCTGGCCCATCCATATGGTACTACCCGTCTAATGTCAAGTTTCTCGTTTGATAACAACGACCAAGGGCCGCCGCAAGACGGTGATGGTAATTTGATAAGTCCGAGTATCAATGATGATGGTACTTGTGGTAATGGTTACGTGTGTGAACACCGATGGCGGCAAATTTTCAACATGGTTGGATTTAGAAATGCCGTTCAAGGAACGGGAATAGAGAACTGGTGGTCAGATGGCAATCAGCAGATTGCTTTTGGAAGAGGAAATAAAGGATTTGTTGCTTTTACCATTGGGTATGATTTGAATCAGCATTTGCAAACGGGACTTCCGGCTGGGTCATATTGTGATGTTATAAGTGGAAATGTGGAAAATGGGACTTGTTCGGGGAAAACCATCACGGTTGGGGACGATGGGTATGCCGATATTTCCCTCGGAGCTAATGAAGATGACGGAGTTATTGCCATTCATGTTAATGCCAAATTGTAAATAAACAAATAATATTTAACAGTCTTGTCTCTTATTGTTAAGAACCTTGATTAGAGTTTGATCGAGAGATAAATATTTTGCGACCTTCTTTACTATTTTTAGGAAGTCTTGAGTCGTTCCAAATTGACATCTTGTCATTTAATACTAAATCGAATATAATATTTAATAATAGTTATTTATGTATCAAAGCAGTAAAATCTAATTTTTTCATTACGAATATGTGTTTAGTTACCGAGCGATAACCGTCATTATTATTTCTTAAGAACATACAACCTTAAAATACATTTTTAATAAACTTGTAATAAATGTATTATGTTTTAGTAAATTAGAATTAAAAAAACAATTATCTCATTGGCTAATAAATTTAATTTAAATTTGTTTATTTTCAACGTTACAAATGATAAAGTCTTTTAAAAAAATAGACACTTATTTTATCACAAAATATTTTTAATTTTTACAAACAATGTGTTACAATTGATCTAAAAATAATCATAATTTGATACAAGTAGGTACTCGCAAATAGTATAAAATAATTGCTATAGAATAACAACTTGAGTCCGATACTTCATAATGTATGTCAAACAAATACTCGTCCTGTGTTTTATAAATTTGGTTTTGTGCCAAAAAGATCCACATTTTGCCGATAACAGAAACATAATAGTGCAAAATTAGTCGATTTACAAATAACAGGATTCCGGATCAATGCAACAAAATACATGTGGCCGGATGATTTGGTTGCAATTTACTCCAAATTAAAAAAAATTAAATACCGACCATAGTTTTCTTGATGATGGAAAACCGTTCATTTGCCAAGAAGTGCAAGATTTTGGTAAAAAATTCATCTTAGAGACAATTTTTACAAAACATGAACTTCCGGCTGGGTTATATTGTGATGTTATAAGTGGAAATGTGGAAAATGGGTTTTGTTCGGGAAAAATCATCACGGTTGGGGACAATGGCTATGCCAATATTTTCCTCGGAGCTGATGAAGATTACGGGTTACTGCCATTCATGTTAATGCCAAATTGTAAATAAACAAATAATATTTAATCGTCTTGTCATTTTTTTGATTAAAATTTGATCAAGTGATAAATATTTTGTTACTTTTTATACTATTTTTAGCAAGTTTTGAATCATTCCAAATTGGTATTTTGTCATTCAATACTAAATCGAATATAATAACAATTATTATCAATAAAAAAGCGAGATTTTTTAACCTTGACAACCCGAAAAAAAATCAGTATATTATCTCGTCATTTCCTGTTATTCTGTAAACAAAAATTTACTTTTCTTAGGAATTTATTTCGTTCTTTATTTGGGCGGAAATTGATTATGCACTTTAACGCTCAACACTCGTAATTATTTTCGCCTACGATTCAGCCACGGAGAGAATAGTAAATAACTGTTGTTCTTGTAGTTTCATTCATAGCGAAGTGTGTCATGAACGACTGAAAATTCTGGCCCAAATTTTCAAAATATCTTTCCACCAAGAAATAAAAAATGTTTTTATAAAAAATAATTGGAATTAAAGAATTTATGAGGCGTTCAAAATGATACATTTTTAAGTGCATTGCCAGTGGTAAAAACAAATCAATATTAAAATGTAGAAAGTATTATTAAAATAAAAAACTCCAATTTTGAATATAAACATGAACCTCAAATTTAGTTAATGGGAACAGCCAGAGGCGTAACTAAAAATCAATTAAACTAATTTTTCAAATGTAAAAAACATGAATCATACTAGTATCTAAAACACAAAAATTAAAAAGTATTTTTCAATATTTTAACGTTTAGTGCGTTTTTTTGATTAGATAGACCACATCATGTCAGAAAACAGTTTTTTATTTGCCAACAAAACATTTAGATAAGTTGGGGTCATCTTGCTGTCCATTGATAATGACCCAAACAACTGATATTCACAAGATGTTAAAACTTCTGTCGTGTCTGTGTTTTCTTCCCTTGATAGCCCCCTCATACAAATCGCCCCATTTCTCCCCCAACCGCTCCACAATCGTACACCTTTTCGAATGGAAATGGGACAGCATCGCCTCCGAATGCGAAAACTTCCTCCAACACAAAGCCTACGCCGGCGTTCAGGTAATAAATATGATTATAATCCCGCGGCTTTTACCCTTTTGTAGGTTTCACCCCCGAACGAAAACTTAATAATTGACGGCCGACCTTGGTGGGAAAGATACCAGCCTGTGAGCTATGTATTGATTACGAGGTCCGGTAACGAGAGTTCTTTCAGAGATATGGTCAAAAGATGCAATGCTGTGGGTGTTAGGTACCCTAAAAAGCGACTCGATTTTTTTTATTTGAAGGAAATGTTGCAGAATATATGTTGATGCCGTTATTAATCACATGTCGGTCGGAAATGGGGTTGGGACCGGTGGAAGTGTTGCAAATGCTACACATAAATTCTTCCCAGGAGTGCCATACGGGCCGGATGATTTCAATAAAAATTGCGTAGTAACAAACTTTGATAATAATGAAAATGCAAGAAATTGCGAATTGGTGGGTTTGAAAGACTTGAATCAGGTAAAACGCAACAGTTATATTCGCAAAACGTTCAATTTTTTTCCAGAGTAAAAAATACGTAAAAGAAAAAATAATTGAATACTTGAACCATTTAATTGATTTGGGGGTGGCAGGGTTTCGAATTGACGCCGCAAAACACATGTGGCCCTCAGATTTGAGAGAAATTTACTCAAATCTGAAAAATTTGAATTCGGAATTTGGGTTTGCCGAAAATTTGAGACCTTTTATTTATCAGGAAGTGCCAACAATGGGTAAATAAATAACACATTACTTGAGTCATGATATTGTTTTGTATTCAGACAAGGAATATACAACATTGGGGGCTTTAGTCGAGTTTAAATTTGGAAAATCGTTAAGTAACGTTTTTAGGGGAAATGATAAATTAAAATGGTTGATCAATTGGGGCCCATCATGGGGTCTAATTGATGGTTCTGACGCTGTCGCTTTTATTGACAATCATGACACCCAGCGAGACAAAGACCAACACATTTTGACTTATAAAAATGCGAAGCAGTATAAAATGGCTGTTGCATTTATGTTGGCACACCCATATGGTACGACCAGGATTATCTCGAGTTATGCTTTCAACGATTTCAACCAAGGTTATTTTGTTTAGATTTTTTATTATTACTGTTATTATTAATTCTTGTTTAGGTCCCCCAGCTGATAAAACTGGTAATATAATTCCTCCAAGCTTTAATACAGACAACACTTGTACCAATGGTTACATCTGTGAACACCGATGGAGAGAAATCTACAACATGGTTGAATTCCGAAATGTTGTTGCAGGAACAAATGTTGAAAATTTCTGGTCAAACGATGATCAACAAATTTCGTTTTGTCGTGGAAATAAGGGTTTTATAGTTTTTACTAATTGGGAGGATGTTGAACGAGATTTACAGACGTGTCTACCTCCAGGGATTTACTGTGATGTTATATCAGGAGGTCTGCAAGCCGGAAATTGCACCGGGAAAGCCGTTAAAGTAAAAAGTGACGGTAAAGGGTTTATTCGGCTGGGAGCTTTAGAGTTTAATGGTGTTCTGGCCATTCACGAAAAATCAAAATTGAAATAGTTTTTTTTTGGCAGAGAAAGTCGATTTAATCACATGAATTTTAATAAAATTGCTTGGCGCTGAAGTTCTATACATACAGAATCAACGTTTGAGTTAAATTAAAAAATAAATTATTTCTCTGTTCAACTGACGCTTCAATGACAAAATTATTATTAAATAAATGAAATTATTAATGGTTTGACAAGGTCAATACAGCTATATAAAATGTGTTTACAAATAAAGTACAATAAAATTAATCGATTTATTTTCACTACAACAACAATTTTTTTTGTCTACTAACAGTGGCAACTTCCTTATTACTAACGACACCCAAATTCTTTTCGGATCAAGTCTTATTGACCAAATTTTCAGAAATGATATCACAATAAGTACCAGCAGCTACCCCAATCTAAATTTTTTCAGTCAAGTTTTTGCAAACGCTACAAATCACTCGAGAAAACGCATTCTATTGTTTGTTATTTGACCATCAATTTCCAATCTGTCCCTGAAACTACATTTCTGAAATCGATAATTTTTGTCACTTAAGGCCACCGGTGTTCACAAACAGAGTCATTCTCACAAAAACCATCAGAATAAATAATTGGAGATTTGATATGAGTATTTTCAGAGAATGTCAAAAAATAATAATTCTAAATAAAACTGGGGGAACCATAAAAGTGTGACAGCATAAAAGCTAGAGGCATTTTGTTCTGTCTCAGATTTTTGTCAAAACTTGGTCGTTGCGGTTGGCTGCTGTGAGTGTCAACAAAAACAAGTGAGTCAGTTTTCAAGACGAAACCCAAGCAGGGGCCCAATTTTGCAAAGTTGATAAATTGCCTTTGCCACTGAAGACCGAACTTATTGCTAGACGATTCAAACACAATTTCGAGGTCTACGTATCCCTCATTTCCGATCACGACATAATACCTAAAAAAATATTGTTTTTAGTAAAATAATTTTTATCAAAATCACACGATTTGGCAGATGAAAGCTTTAGTTTTGTCCGGAAAAAATTGTGTTGAGATCAAGAGTAGTTTCAACTCTTCAATCGTGATGTATTTAACTGAGTCAGCCCTAAACCCTACAACCCCAAACTCAATCAACTTATTCAAATACGTTACAATTCTCAGTTGCACGTTTTGTGTGGACTAAAATAAAACTTTTATCTTCCACAAATCGAACTTTCCACTCAAATACTTGGTCTAAGTCTCTCAGATTATTAAGTTTGCAGTTTCTCACAACTTCAGGATTTAAATAATTCGGAATATTACAAGTAGGATGAAAATCCTACGGAGTGTAAGGCACGCCAGGATAAATTTTAACATCACTCATTGCTTTATTTTCTGCCGTACCCATTCCTGTGGTTCCCTGTAGTTGAAAATCACATCTGCATAAATCCTGAAATGATTTATTCATCGAGTGGTGAAATTCCGAATTGGAATTTCACCTAATTCCGACTTTGTTACATCTGGAAATTATGTCAGAGAGTTGGGATTCGAAGCCGTAGAACAGTATGAGGTTGGTATCTTTCCCACCATGGGCGGCCTTTGACAATCACGTTTTCGGAGACTGGCGAAATCTAGTCATTAAAAAGATAAAAATGAGATAAAGTGATTAACTAAGACGGTACCTGAACTCTGTCGAAGGACCTATATTGAAGGTACCTCTCACACTCGTCGGCAATGTCAGATAGTTTCTATTCGTTTAAATAAACGATGATGCTACGATAAGTACCAAAATTTTTATTTTTTGACTTTGAACAAGCCAAAAGTTAAAAAAATACTATCAACACAAACTTTGGTTTATTCATTTTGAGAGACACAATAAAAATATGCGAATAAATCATATTATCAAATAATTAATCAAAGAGAGATTAGTTAAGTATCAAATTATATGTTACTTAATCAATTGAAGAGATCATCTCAATAAAGGACAAAGTCGTTACAAGGCTAAATAACGCGATATATTTTTCTAAATTAATTAGTACCGGGTTAGTGTTAAAGTCAGTGAAGGTTACTAATTACAAGAGCCAGAAATCAGGTCTAATAGAGACATAATAGTGACATAACAGTATACTCTCTTTAATTTCCTACAATTATCATCTATTGTTAACTCGAGTGTCGACACGTTCCGATGGTATCTCTTGTTTCTCATGTAGTAACAAATTGCAAAATTGTGCCCTTTTGGGTATTTCTTCCCCCAAGTTCATTAACTTGACCCGTGTTGTAATATTTTTCGATTTGTCAATTTCTCTTGACCTTCCAATCTCGAGTTACAACGTTGTTACTTTTAATGTTTGTAGTTTAGCGAAAGTAATGCCTCAATAGCGTTGTCACTCATCTAACAATAGAGATTGGTGAGATAATTTATCGCAAGTTTCGTGATTCATCTACAATTCATTAGGATGAAACCTATAGATGGATTACAGTGCGGAACGGGAGCTAATGTTTTCAGCCTTGTCGATTTGTTGCACATCTAAAGTCCACGTTTCGACTAATGTAGGTTACTCAATTCGTATTTCGTGCATTCATATTGCAATAGGTGTAGGTACGTCTGACCTCAGATGGTACTGTTTAAGTGTGAGATCATTACCTGGATGATGAGTTGGAAACGGCGAGGCAATTACCGATGAGCTAATTTCAATTTAAATTTATCGCGAAAATGGTACCACAGGACGATTACTAGCACAGTTGCACAATTAATGCACCAGGAGGAAATGTGCAATCTTGCAGCGATCAAACAATGTGATTCTGTGAAATAAACAAAAAATTCTAGGTTGTTTTGAAATTTGTGAACTACATATTCAAAATGATATCAAACAAACGCTTCTGTTCTAGCACACTGCTTTCTTTAATGCTTCCATAGAAAAAATTACAGCAAAGTTTGCAAAGATGCGGTTTAGACACACTACACCACTAAATAAGATATAAACCTATAGTAAATATCATGAGTAATGTATTTTTAAAAATACATCATGATAGGACGATCCTGCGTGATAATTATTTTAGGGGCAAAGATTAACGGTATAGATTAAAGTAAAATAAGAGCTAGAGAATTTGTTGTTTAAATTTTACTTTTATTTTTATTTTTATTGATTACTACAAGTAAGTATGTAAAAATTAAAGTAAATTCATATATTATTCAGATGCAAAAAATTTGTCTTTAAAATATTTCTACCTACACCTTTCCAAATTTCACTAAACACTAAAAAATTTGAGAAAAAAATTCCCTCGGTCCCGATTTAGATCTCACCACGTTCTCAATAAAGCCGTCTTTTTATCAGATTAATTTAAAGTCCTTATTCGTAAAGACAATTTATCACGTTCTTTTCCAAATCTTTTCGGTGTCATTTTTTCCGACGTTATCATCTTATCGACTTGCATGCATCTGGTACAACTATCTCTTTTTTATCAGCTTTGTGCCACTTAAAACAGAAAAAAAATGACACAAATTTGTTTAACAAACATGTAGCGATGCTTCGAGTTTGTTTATATAAAACAATAGTTCGTATTTGGTGTCGAGAGCAGTGAGAAAATGTTGCAATTTTTCTAATTAGTTACAAATTATTAATTATTAGAATTTTGTAAGGGGAAGAGTGAAAGCCCGTGTATTACCCTTCACTTCCATTACACTAACATTTTGTACAAATAAAATATTTACACAGGAGGTGCGTAATTTATACAGTTTAAATATTATCGCATTAAAACAATTATAGAAATTCTTTGTGTTATGTAAATATTACATCTGTATATGTAAACAAGTCAGGTTCTCAGTGTATGTAAATTTAGCTTTGATGTTGATTAGAGGAGAAAACTTGGAAGCTAGTTTCAGTTTCCAGCGATGTTAGTTCTAATTGTAATTAATTTTTAATTTAAATGCAAGCTGTAAAATCTATGTAATTACATTAAGTAAGCGTTTCAAAAGCTTGTGGTGTCTTTGCAATAATAAAACACTGCAATAAAGTCTCAGGTCAGGGCTTAAATTTTTTTCGAAAAATAACCGTATGATTGATCACCCGCATGCAAATAGAAAGTCCTCGTCGGTTTGTGGAAACAAAAATTCCAGTCTTTAAGCACCCATGCTCTGAATGCTGTAATTAATTCCGAGATGTCCCGGAAGATCTTCCGGTCGCTTTCTCCCGACTCAAGGTCACATTGTTACACAATCATAATTTTTTAAGCGTGTCGTTTATCACAATTGTCTGTCATGGCAGTGTAATTACTGTCATGACTATGTAATGAGCATTTGATTTTGAAGAGAAAGTCGGGGAAATGAGATTTTTCGGGAGCATAGGCAATTAATGACCCAGATCGTGTGAATTGTGATGTTACTCAAGATCGATTTTATTATCGATTGATTCCGAAGCAGTCGACCGAATTTGTGTCAAGAATTTCGCGGCGAATTTTTCACCTTGTGTAGAGCGGTTTGACGCACGTCTAATTAATGTAAATTGCACGGGATGGATGGGTGAAGTAAGGATTATTACGACACTCATTCATGGCATAGTCGTGCACGACGTTTTACTGTTCCTACTTTAAATCACATCGGTCGTATTTTTTGCAACAAAAAACAAATTAAAGATATTTCAAGATAAAATTGATATGTATTGTATATTGAAAAATGTTGTAGTTGACGTAATTCAAAAAATTTTAATTGCGATTCAAGATTTATTGAAAACTTTGTATAAATGTAGCTTTCAATTTTTACGGTACATAAAAATTAAAGTTAACTGAAATTCTTCTTAATTGAAAAAGTTTTTGTCTAAGCCAAATTTTTCCAGTTACGGTTCCTAACTTGATTTTGTGAAAATATTTTTCAGGGAGAAAGTTTAATTGTTTATTTTTTACAAGCGGGCGCGTGCTTTAAGAATTATTAGCATGTCGTTAAAAGTGTCATTGACATCTAAATTTACTGCAAAAGAAATTGCTTTCAATAATGTACATTTGCACACGTTTTCATTGTCTAGGTTTTATGACTTCTTCAATATTGACTTAATCACTAGAACAGAAAGTTGGTTCCGTCACGTATAATTAAAACTTTAAATTATGTTAAATGCGTCTAGTGTTCCACATTCGGTAGTTTATCATATTTTTAAGCTTTTTGCTTGGTTTCAACACGCAATGAAGCTCTAAATAACTGTTAGAGGAAAAACTTAGGATACACACCCTTTCCAGTACATTTACCGGCGATCGAAGTTTCATTCATAGTTAATTCATATTTGAGACGTAATCTAACTTGGTAAAGCAAGGTCAGTGCTATTACATTATCGTAAATCCGTTTAAGACACAAGCAATAGGTAAATTCTTTTTAACGGTTAACACAATAAGCAGTTTAAACCGCAAAATTTCATTTACTTGAATAACTTTACTCTTGGTTTTGATTTTTGAGTGAAGGGTAAGTTTAAGCTATATTTTGATTAAAAAAAAACAGAAATCTTAGAAAAAATTAACTCAGTTTAACACTCTCCTTAATGACGTCCCTTAAACACGAAACATAATTAACATGCAATAATCTTCTCTACATTTACTCATCACATTATCAACTCGTTACAAGCAAATTAATTTGCTTTCAATTAATCTCAATTTTCTGAAATTCCCATTATTTTTCATTTCGAAAATCTTCTAAAATTGGCAAAATCCTCGCCAATAAATCAACTAAAATCGTTGGGTTTTTTGATAACGTTAAGCTGTTTGAAAGTTGAACATTCGTCAGGTGACCTTTTTGTGAACTTTGTGGTTGAAAACGATCGAAGTTTCAAGAGGCGGAGTTCAGCAGGAAAGGGCGGATCCTGCAGGAGGCGTTTAAACGGGTGTGACTTGAAGCAGGATCAATACCTGGCCTGCTGTAACTTGGCTATTTTTACAGGTAGATAATCAGACCCATGGTACGCATAATGCACTTGTGATATTTTTAATTAAACACCCACTAACGTGAAAAAAGAAAAAAGAAATTGTTAACTTTAAGAAAAAAAACAAGAATTTAATAACAATACCCTTGATATAACTTAATAAACCTAAAACAATTCTCCATATTCAAGAACACAATATCCCCTTTCTTTTGGACTCAACTGCCACTTGACATCTCTTTGACATCGTCCTTGATTGTCCTTAGTATAATCAAGGACTCTTATACATCCCATATCCCAACATACACCCTCGTTTTAAAGTTAACCCTCCCTAAATTCAACATTTCATTATTTATGTTTCGATTTTTTCCGTATTTGAAGCAATTTGCGTGGCACTTGCAGACTTCTCCCCTTGGTCACCAAACATCACTTTCACCTTGAGGGTGGTGTGATCGAAAATTCAAATGAACAGCCGTGGGCTTCTGTCCCTAACAGGCGATGTGGGGGTAGTTGCGAGACTTGCATACAAACAGGACTAAATGCATCGTTATAGATTATAAATGTAATTAAAGAGATTATGTGGGCGATTGAGTGGTTAAGCTATCTTGAAAAATTTCAGATAATCGAGTTACTTTTAATGGGATTTGCATTGAAGGGTAACGAGAAATTTATCGGCTGTCAAACAGGAAATATATTTAGAGATGAAGAGTTGCTCGGTATTTCGGTTTGAGATGTAACGATCTGTAAGTTTGCAGCTTTCTTTGAAACAGACAAAAAGTTTATTACATACTTCCATTTATTTTAGTTTGAGAAAATCGTGAATTTTACATTATGGCTCATTATTTATGAAATATAATGCCTTGTTGTAAAGAAATTGAATAAATACAGTTAAAAATGTGGTATAATATGGTATTTTTTCTCAGTTTCTCTCTTAGTGATATTAAAATCACAAAAAAAATAATTCCATTCAGAAGCACTATACGCTAAGTGACCTTTTATATACAACTTCACAAGCTGTGACTAATATGCGTATTAGTTACGTTGCTAATAGCAACTGCCGTATTAGTCACAGGCTGAAGTTAGCTTTCTGTCATTCCAGATGTCTTTTAATTTAATTTTTAATTTAAGTAATTTTTTTGTGATAGTCATAGTATGTAACACGTGTATAAGCTTGTCTAGACATTCGTTTCATTAAACATTCGCTTCACTCGTGCCTAATAAAACTCATGTCTAAAGTGGCGTTTATAGCATTAGTTACGTAATATCTTTTAATCATTTTCACAAAGCTTCTCAAAAATTCTTAAAGTTACCATACAATTTTATTATTTATTCAAAATATAAATGACTTTGTTTTATAAGACATTTATATCACTTTTATTATACAGGGTGTTTCACATAATTTTACGAAGCCTGCGCCTGTAATAATACAATAATAATACATATTCCGATATTAACTCGATTACAAATTTTAAAAAATTGGATAATCTTCTCTTGTTTGTTCACCCTTTCAAAAATTACAACGTTTTTAGTTAGTTAGTGAATAAGGTACATAAATTAGAATCATATATTCATGCCGTCTCTTGATAGAACAAATGATAATTGTTTCTGAAAAACTGCAGTTTATGACTATTAAATGCAATAGTGATTTGTTTGACAGCTACTGTCAAGGGTTTCCAAAAATTAAATAATTAAATGGGTATTTTTTGTATCTAGTGTTTTGTGACTTTTGTATATTTAAATGCGTACATTAGGCGCAAGTCTCGTAAAGTTGTGTGAAACACCCTGTAGAATCAGTACAGTAATAGTTATTTTTATATTAATTGTGCGAGACAGTTTTGTAGACATAATAGAAACGTTTTTTTTTACGGTTTTTAAGATATTTTAAAATTTAGTGTCATATTTTTGTCAGTGCGTGTAATGCCGTCAGTGTGTGAAATTAACACTTCACACACTGTGTTTCAGTTCAACTACACACATGATTGTACCTAGAAATTTTTTTTTTTTAAATATTTCACACTTTGATTGCATCTACTTTATGAAGTGTCTGTCCCTCTTTGTTGAAAAACGTAAATAAATAAGAAAAACTGGTCTACAATCTAGATTTTATTCAAGGTCGACAGCGGTCGTAAGTGACTAACTACTGCATCTACTATAAATTGTCTACTTTGGCTGGACAATATTACAGAGCTACCAAAATTTAAAAAGCCCTTTTTTAGAATTTATTACAAAGTTTACACCCATTTAAGGTTTGAAATAAACTCAGATTTAGGTTTACATGTTAAAGGTCAATTTCGTTTTGCTCTCTTTTTGTTGAAAAACATTTAATAATTAGATAAAAAATAGACTAAATTAAAAACCTTGTGATGTTTCTGAAAAACACGCAATGCGTATTAGTGTCAATTTTCAAAGTAAATACTACAAGGTAAGTGAATGTATTTATTTTGTTGTTCATAGGAAATATTAATATATCCATTAACCAAAACAAATTCCATTTGTTATGATCTTTACTTGCTTTAAAAAAATTCCACATAAATCTTTAGCACTTGTCAAGGCAGAATCGAACCAATTGCTTCACTCTTGTACTTTAGCTACCCGCAACATAAATCTTCCTCTAGTACAATGCCTCGACAACAATACAACCTGATTAGGTCATTGCGAAACATGTATGAGAAGTATTTATAAAAACAGTTTAGAGCAATTGAGTACATACCTACTTATTCTCTCGATTACGCAGTTTAATTACAAACGATTGCGTTTAAATAAAAATACACCATTGTTTCGACACAATAACTTTTGCAAAATTTCAAATTTCAACCCCCAGAGTGTCTGCAAAAATACTTTAAAATGTATGACAAAGAGCAAAAACCTCATTTTGAATAAGGTTCCTAACTTTTAAAATGTGTAGATTTGATTTCGAGAAAAAGCGAGGATTGGGTATTATCTTCATGACATTCATCTGATGCAAAGGTCGACATACAACATGAGGGTGGCAGCGAAATCAAATATTCATGTTGGAACGGCTGGCGCTGTATCGACCAGCCGAACTTCCAACCCTCTCCGCACCTGTAGGTGAGCTTGAAGGAAAAGCTTGTTACATGGACCATTGCCCTCAAAAATTTAGTTTTTATCAATTTTGGACAAACATCAGACCATTATTGTTAAAATTGTAATTTAGCTGCCTCGGGGTTAATTAACTGTTGTGTTCAGCCCCTCAAAGTCCAAATTATTTTTCTACATAGTTAGTTAATGCGTTTGGATTTCTTTTTATGATACGTTTTCAGGGACAAAACACTTCAAGTTTGATTAATAAATTTATTACCAACATGTCCTTAAAAAAACTACTTAATAAAATAGATGAGTTTTTCGTGCCACAAAACGTTAATTCGGAAAAAAAATTAAGCTTCAAGTGGATTTATTTTCACATCAGCGATTGTTTTACGTGATAAGATTACCGTAAACGACTCTTGGACCAGAATATTAAGTAATTGATCGAAGAAAATCAACCCTGAGATGACATTATCGGAATTTATTGTTTGGTTTGTCATGCTTTCACTAAATTATTGTTATTACAGAGTAGTTATTTCAATTGCCTTTAAGACAAATTTCTCCACAATTATTTATCCAAATAAGCAAATTTTAATTCGTCTTATAAAATAAAAATAAGTAGGTTTCTCGAACAGATTTCCTTCCCTAGTGGCGACATGTTTAATAAATATTTTTTAAATACATACATACCATATTAAAATCTAGCTATACAATTTCGCAATTTTGCTCAGAAGCAGGCTACTACGTATTAATCATAACAAATAACAACAGAACGCAAAGTAGGTACTCGTATACTCAGCTTTAATATTTTTAAGTAATATTTAAATAAAATGCCTACACAAAGGTATATTCTAGATAAACACAAAAAATCTCTAAATATCTAGGTAGCTATACATTAAGCAATATTTGTTATTAATCTTTTATTTCAAATTAGTAATTTCAAATTTATTTAAATAAATATGAAAAAACATTCAAGATGGCAAATTAATACTAATAAAAAAATACAAATTTATATTTACAAACATAAACTTTAAAATAGCCCAAAAGAGTCACACAAATTTTTTGTCTTTAACTGAATTGATGGTTAAAACCCTACTTTGAACAAAATCAGGCAAAATTATTTTGTAATGGTAATAAAGCTAAAATTATATTTTAGAAAAAAAAAACAAATTAAACATTTGAATTTTGCTTTCAATTATTTTCGATGTTGACATAACTTCAGAAGATAACAAATTTTTACTCTTTTTTTGTAAATTGCAGCAAAACTGTACCTCAAACGTTATAATGTTTTTATGCGTACATAAGTATAGTGCTTCGAGAAATCGATTGCCGTCGAGAAAAATGCAAAATTCATGATCGTTTAGTTGAATTAATATTTTTAAATTTATCAGCAATTTTCTTGCTAACTCTTTAAGGTAGGACTACATACTATCTTTTATATATGATAAATTAAAAAATTAAAATTAAATTTGCTTTCCAACAGTACCAAACAAAAAGGACTAGCGTCAATAATTCTGAAGTTATTAGCAATAAACTGCCCCGGGAACCAAAAATCGTCTAAAATTTCTATAAAAATCGAAAAAATTAAAAACTTCAAAATTAAACCATTTGCATTCTTGGGAGTTCAAGAGACTTAGAAAAGTACAAAATCGTTGTAAAAACGCAAGAAATAAAATTTGGAAAATTTTTGTGTAAGTTTCTTCAATTATATTGAATTAAAATAAAACATTCAGGTTGGCGGTGTGGTGCATGATGTGGCGTCATAAGGTCCCGTTTTCAACCAGGTAGTTTAAAAACATTGCTAAAATCAGCAATTTTTCATACTAATTCAAATTAGCTATAAAAGATGGCAAGCGCATAAGAGCGCGAACATTAAAAAATGTAGCTGTGTCAATAGTACACTATTACACTTATTACAATAAGTACTAGTATAAGTAAACAAAAGGTACGTTAAAAAAATTTAAAGAAAAGTTAAGTTTTGTAATAAAAATAAACCAATATTTTTTTTATTAATTATTATTATGACTACTAATAATTCAAATAAATGTAAAAGATAAGAGCACCAAAGCTTTAAAACATATACATAAGTCTACTAATGAAATAGATATAAGTAAACAAAAGGTAAGTAAAGTGAAATATAAAGTAAAAGTAGCATGAAATGTATAATAAAAATTATAGAAATAAATGTTAATGTAAATTTCGGCTAAAGTGTATTGACAATGGTTAATGTTTTAAACTATACGTATGGCGTATTTTTTCACGGTAATATAACAACAATTTTAACGGCCCAATGTGTTATCGTTGCCATAGCAAGCATGAAGACGTATGTACATTATCAATATGATCAATAATTACTGCGAAAAAGGTTTACTGTTAGAATTCGTCACAAATTAAAATCAAAATTGCTCCAATATAAATATTAACAATTATTGACATTCTCACGCACCAAAAACATTATTTCATTAAATAAATGATGTCTAGATAAAAACAACAAAGTTTAACGCTGACAACCATTTGTGATCCAATAGAAAATATTAATAACTTCTTGATGTTACGAAGTGAGTCAGATTACTTCTTGAAAGCTGAATCTTCTCAGAATGGAATTTTAGTGTTGGTCTTCAAGTCGTAGAGAACCATTAGCAGGTATCCCGAGTAGGTCCTGCTTTTAGGTCAGTATCCATATTTAGCCCGTATTAATGTCAATGCGATAAATTAACAAAGACGTAGATTCGAGGATTGGCCGTCGAGATGTGACGTCTGGCGTCGAAACCAATCGTGTGGCGGCAGTAAGGGCGCGTGCCCCGCCACAAACCCGCCCCCGAAAATCCCGTTCGAACGCCGCCAGATTCTAGCGTGGGCTGCGTCTCAGGAGCGGTCGTACGTAGCGGGAGTGAGCCAAACAGTGCACCTGGAGATCGGCACCGTGGAGACTCGCGCCGGCCAACACGGCCCGGGAGGCAGCCTTGGCCTACTCGGAGATTCGCGTGTCGCCAACAACATTCGCGGTTTCTTCGCCACCCGGATAGGAAGCGCCCTTCCAGATACAGGTAAGACAAAAATTACAAAAAACAACAAATTGCGACAAAAACCACCCCCAAAAAACTGTTCTAAATATCTGCCAATTTTTGGGTTGCAAAATGGCCGTCAATAAGACAAGATGGCCGAAATCAATATTGTTGTTACGTAACAGGGCTAATTAAGCAGCCATATTACTTTTGGGCTCTTTATCAATAATACAAAAAACAATTATCAAATAATCAATATAAAACTCATTAAGACCTATGTTTTACCAGAAAAACACCAATACTGATCTTTTTAATGATTTCCTGGGGTACCTTGATATAAAGCGTGCTCCAGCTGAAAGTTTCAATAAAAATTATTAATACTTTTCCGTTGCTTTGTTTTTAATGCATTGTTTAGTGGTTTAATAAATAATTTAGTGTTAGGATCTATTTGTGTTTCATTGATCGTCAACTGTGTTCTGAACAAAAACATTAAGTGAAAAGTTTTAGAAAAGAAAGACCAACAAAAATAAAAACTTTACAAGTACATTGCTTAAAACGATTAATGTGAAGATGATTCAGGTGAAATGATTTAAGTGGGCACTAGACTCGCCGGATCTGAGCCCAATGTAAAACATGTGTTTTGATATTGTTGCGCTTCTACCTCCGCGATCCTTTTGTAGACGGGGTGCGGGGGGTCAGCGCAGTGCCTCCCCATGCCCCCGGCTGTAGCCCTCTCTAATTTGTGTTCTATGTCCAGGTTAACCCGATGGCACTGCGCTCCCCCGTCCCCCTCTAAGTAACCACGTCGCGCAATCCACTATCCGCTTGCTGGTCTCTGGCCGCCATGACGACCATCCCGATCCTAAACATGGAGTGGGGTGAGCTGAAGGAAGTGGCGTGGACCAAAGTGCAAGAACCGCGCACCCAACGTAAACTCATTCTGGTGATCGTCTCCATCGCCCTCCTCCTCGACAACATGCTGTACATGGTCATCGTGCCCATCATCCCCGACTATCTGCGATACATCGGTGCCTACAACGACGAAGTGACCGTTCCGGGAAACGCCACGCTTCCACCAGGTACTCCCTACAAGCACGACCATCACGGCCAGGACTCGGCTACAGGCATCCTATTCGCATCCAAGGCCATAGTCCAGTTAATGGTCAATCCTTTCTCGGGAGCTCTAATCGACCGAATCGGCTACGACATCCCAATGATGATCGGACTCACGATAATGTTTCTGTCGACGGCAGTGTTCGCTTGTGGCCGCAGTTACGGCCTCCTCTTCTTCGCCCGAAGCCTCCAAGGGGTAGGCTCGGCCTTCGCAGACACCTCGGGTTTGGCCATGATCGCAGATCGCTTCACGGAAGAAAACGAACGTTCAAAAGCCCTAGGCATAGCTCTAGCTTTCATCAGTTTCGGATGTCTGGTAGCGCCGCCCTTTGGAGGAGCCTTATACCAATTCGCCGGAAAGGAAGTACCATTTCTGATCCTAGCCTTCGTCTCACTCATAGACGGATTTATGCTACTCCTAGTCATGAAACCATTGAAAACCCAACTCAAAGAGGCAGGTTTAGCCAAGCCACCGTCAGTGCCTATTTGGCGCCTTTTCATGGACCCTTACATCGCGGTCTGCTCAGGAGCTTTAATGATGTCAAACGTGGCGTTAGCCTTTTTAGAACCAACAATCTCCTTATGGATGGAAGACAACCTAACCACCGACAACTGGAAAATCGGGATGATTTGGCTTCCCGCGTTCTTCCCGCACGTACTTGGCGTCATATTGACGGTCAAAATGGCCAAAAAGTACCCACAATACCAATGGTTAATGGCAGCAGGTGGTCTCGCTTTGGAAGGCTTATGTTGCTTCATTATCCCTTTCTCCACCTCATACAAATTCCTCATGATCCCAATTTGCGGCATTTGTTTCGGAGTCGCTTTAATAGACACCGCTCTCCTTCCCACCTTGGGTTACCTGGTGGACGTCAGATATGTTTCCATTTATGGAAGCATTTACGCAATCGCAGACATATCATATTCCGTTGCTTACGCTATTGGACCTATCATCGCAGGAGGAGTGGTCGAAGCAATCGGTTTCACAGCACTTAACGTAGGTATCGCATTTTCAAATTTGTTGTACGCACCGGTACTTATGTACCTAAGACATATCTACGACTTTAAACCGTTTGAAAACGAAGCCAACATTCTCATGTCAGATCCTCCAAACAAAGAGTATCAAACGTACTCGATGCAGGAGCAAAAACCGATTTCGGGTGATATCCAAAACCATCTCGAGTACAAACAACAAGAGACTAATTTTGATTCAAATGGAACGTACCAGCAAGGGTACGATCAATATCAAGGTGACCAGTATCAAGGTTACCAGCAAAGTTACCAAGAAGTACCGGCTTATCAACAACCTAGACCACCCCAACAACCTGAACAACCTTCAAATCCGTTTAGGCCAGCCGAAACAGGACGAAATCCCTTCAGGCAGGGTTTCTAAGCTCTATGTGTATATTGTATATTCGTGTATGTGTCCCTGTGTGTTAATTATATGTACATATCACACCGGATGTTCCTGAAACTTGTACATATCGGCTGAAATTCATAAGCACAGTGTTTAACCCCACTAGGCTTAGTCATCTCGCTTTTTGTAGAGGTTTTAGTTGTTGTTGATTTTTTGGTAGGTTTTGGTAGAGCTAGGATTTAAGTTGAGTTCAAATTGAGTTGTCATGTTTTTACTTATATCAACTAAGATCACATACATATCAGAATCAAATGATTCGCTTGTTATATCGTGATAGGTCGAAATTCTGGCCACTTAATTATAGAGTAGGATAGTCTAAATTAAGTCACTGATAAGTAGCCCGCATCACACCCCCGTCTCCTCAATTTATATATTATTCAAGTTGGATTTTATTGGTATAGCTCTCGACTCGATAGTGTCAATTCCCTTGTGTATAGTATTTGTGCAAAATGATGAAAGTGTTATTTTGCCGTTAGTATAAATACGTTCGGGAACCAGAAAATTTGCTCAGCTATGTAGATACTCAAAATATGTGTATATTCACCCCAAAATCTTTATCTAAAACCCTGTTTTAACGGCAACTATGGCTGCGACAAAGTTAAATATTAATCGACTGTGATGGGCACGTCTAGTACCCTTAGCAATTAAATTTGGAATTTAACAATGAGAACTAATAAATAAAATCCAATAAAATATAATGTATGTTTATAAAATAATTAGTACTTTGTTTAAACTGGAACTTCTAAAACATGCTTGTAGTTGTCGTATATAAGTATATAAAACTATAGGAAAGCAATAAAAAAATAGTTAAAATCCTTTCAGTTTGACCAAATAGCGCGAATTTACTTACCTACATCGAAACATTATTAAATGTGTATCTCTGTAAAGGTGCCTGTGTATATTTACTAAAGTAGTTCTGTGAGCTTGTTTTGTAAGAAAATGATTCATTTAAGTGGCATTCAAAAAAATGCAACTTGAACGAATTTTGGATTAGTTACCGACTGCAGCTTCTTCCATATCCCTCTAGAGTCAACGAGGGTAGTAATGGTTTCTCTCATTGACTTGGCTTTAAATATAATCTTAGACTTTTGACTATTTTACCATTTTATCTCATTGTTTTGTAAAGTACTGATAGTTTAAAATGTTGATCGGAAAAAGGATGCATGTGAATAGTAGATACTAGCTCTAGTACTAATAATAGTTGTATTGTTTCAATGTAAAGTATAATTTCAAGAAACTGTGTATAAGGGTGCTGTTTTACTGTTGTGAGCACTACATCAGGCTCTAACTGATTCTAAAATCAGATGATTTTATTTTGAAGAAAAGTGTAGTAATAGTATTTAATAAATTTGTTATTTCTAGAACCAGTTGCAGCCTTATATTTATTCCAAGGAGCAATCACATGTACTGACCGTTTATCGATATCTGAATGGGTCTATTAAACTAATTGTTATTGAATTTTGTGTTTTTTTCTCTTATTCCAAGTTTCAAATTTAATCGTAATTAAAACATAGAGCACGTAGGGCAAGATAATTGGCTAATTCTGTCGGTTCCATTGTATAACAGAGGGCAACCGCATAGCAAATCACCCCCAGTTCGTTATCTCTCTATATTGGAGGGTTGCAAACCAAGGGAATGCTTGTTTAGAGGTACGACGTAATGAATTAAACGAAACAGCCCCACCTTGTCCGAGAATACATTAGCTTAATTGGGAAGTATCAACTATCAAAAATAAAATTTTTCGGCCGTTTTCTGATTTAATTAAAGCCGGACTTGCCTGGTCAACATTCCACTAAGAAGATGAAAGGGTACGTGGAGGACCCTCAAGTTGTGTGTTCTTTTAGTCGAGCTGGTGCTTTATAAACAGAAACAGGAGTCTCTAGAGACCGAGGGTCTGACCCGAATAATCGATAGATTACGCCAGCTTCGAGTTACCTTTTGTAAATACAAGAAAATATCGTTGAATAGAAGATGGCAAGGCTTTACGACACACTTGGCGAAATTGAATGTGTCAATGGGATTTTTTCAAGGCTGAAAAGATAAATTGGTGCACAAACTGACTTTCTCGCCGGAAAAATTCATTTCGTTTAGGTATGAAAAACATCAAGGGAGAGACAAATTAGATTTTATTTCGCACGTTTTCCATTAAAGAGAAAGATTAGAATTGTAGAAATGGAGATTTGCTGGGTTATGAATTGGATTTGTGGCCCTGTATTTCGGTATTATCTGATTAAAAGCAGTTCGGGATGATAGAACGAATGTCACTCTTGTAATTGACATGACTTTCCCTCCACTACTGTCTCTAATGTTATTAGAAGATTATGTCGTTTATTTAGTGTCTGAAAGCTGGTTTATTACCAATTTCGAACGTTTGCACAAAGTCAATACTTTGATAGTCATTATCTCATTTAATAAACTCCTAGTTTATAGCCGTTGCAATAAATGTTTTATATTTCGCCCTCACAACACTGAAAGGCTTTTGCCATCCCCTAAGACACGGTGGAAATACCAC